CATATGGGTGAGTGCAGATTTTAAAGGTGAAAAGTAACATCTCAATTTGGGTACTACTAGAGCATTCAAAGTTGCTTTAAAAACCCGTTCCACTTTTTAAGGGGGTACATTATTACAGCTGTGAATTCTGTGACTGCTTTTTTTGACAGTTTATGGAAGCATGGTGCCAAAATAATTTTGATGTAGCTGATATGGTAACAAATGGAGATGCTGCATATTAAGCATTTTAATGTGCTTTTAGTATTAGTATATATCAGCAGAATTTATCAGTTTATAAAGCCTATAAACTTTAACTTAATTCATGTTCCCCTTGCAAGTGATTGAAGGTCCAAGGCTAAAGAATGCGGTGTTGGAAACATCGAGGAAATGGGCTGAGGAATGCTGTGCCCTTTCTTCTCTGTATACAGAAGCAAGTGGTGTTGCTTTCCCTACACCCTGCTGTAAGATGCAAAATAAAATGTGGCAAGCAGAAGGCCTCGGAGCTCGATAGGGTTTGTTGGAGTCAGGAACTTGGGGCATGACATGACAGAAATGCTGGTGTCAGCACTGTGCATCTGCTGACAGGACAGCCACGTCTCCATTGTGTACTGAGGTCTTGCCCTGGCCACGTTTCATTATGTGCCAAGGAAAAATTCACAAGGTTTTCATGAGGAAAGGACAGTTGGAAGTGAGTCCCTGGAGTTCCTCATCTGGCTGGTACACAGCTGCTTACCCACAAAAGTGAAGAGGTGCCTGCTTGTAAAAGAGGTTATTCAGCCTCCATGGTTTTGGAGGTTGGACACTGATTCCTTACAAGAGACACTTTGTACTCTCGGAAGAACAGCCCGTGCATCATTAATTCTGGCTTAGCTTTGCACCACTGTACTGCAACAGTAAACCTGTAAAAGTGGTGTTTCCTAACTCGGGCAGTAAATCTAGAAGCAAATTTGAAAGAGGTTAACAAGTATTGATAGCTCTTCTGAGGTGACTGGAAACATGATTCAGAGGAGAGAATGAATGTGTGTTTGTAAGGAAAACTTGATTACAAAAGTTACCATCCCAAAAACTTTATTTAACATTTATTCTTATAGTGGGTTTTATGTTGACCTAAGATTACAAGCAAAGCAATGTTTGCACATACATAATGTCTCTCATCAGCTGATATAAAAAAAATTTCATTTACAATCTACTTATTCATGGTAGCAACTCTCTACTTCATAGTTAGCTGTAAACAGTGAGTTGAGGGCCCTTTTTTGATTGTTGATTTTTTAATTTATTTTTAATATTTGCTATTTCACAGTGGCTTCTGTAGTACAAAATTGGATGATGGATGGATGGATGGATGGATGGATTTATTTTTTTACAGAATCTTTTTGCAGCTTTGCTCTTTTTTGTACTTGCTTTGTGTCTTACTTTATTGTCATGGAGAGCTGCTCTTGCTCCATCTGGGGAGCTGCTGTTTGGAAGGAGGACATGTTTGGGTGCATTGTGTCCCATCCCTCTGCTCTGAGGCTGGTGCTGGGTTGTGAGCCTGTGGACAGTTTTGAAAAAGCATGAAATACTATTTAGGCTTTAAAAGGCATTTGGCCAAAGGTATTGGAGAATTTGGAATGGTTCGGGTTGGAAGGGACCTTAAAGCTCATCTAGTTCCACCTCCCTCTGCCATGAGCAGGGACAACTTCCACTAGACCAGGATGCTCAAAGCCCAATCCAGCCTGGCCCTTGGTTTGTCCATCTCAGCAGTATTGCTGTGTCACTGGCTCAGCTTCTAAAAGATGCTCTGTTCTTGTGCCTTGGCAGTGTGCAGAATGTGACCCCAGGATTTTTTGTGTGCCTATTTGCTGTGCCTTCATCTCTGCCTCTGTCTTTTCAATTTTCCTTTTCTCCTTTTCTAATTAGAGACTTGAACAACCACTCAGGCCAAGTTTCCTATGTTTTGTTGCATCTATCCAGTAGCTACAGTGCAAATTTGGGTTAGAAGTAGGATTTATGTCTTGGGTTTTTTCATGAGCCTTTCTCTTCCCTCTGTGTTTTGGGGCCAGAAATAAAATTTAAACATAACCTGAAGAAAGAACATACTGTCTTCTGACAGAGATACCTGATACAATTATGAAAAGATTGTCATGTGGCATCCTTTATGCCCGCAAGAAAAACTTTTTGGTATCCAATGTCTATAGTTCATATTTGCTGTCATAGAGAGGATGTTGGAGGCTGTCACTGGACACCCAGCTTGAAATTTGATGACTTGTGGTTTGATGCCCTGTCACAGACTTGTTTGGCACCTTGGAGAAAGCTGTGCAGGTCCTTGTCTGATCCACAGCAGCAGTCTGGCCTCTTGCAGTGTTTGTTGTGCAATTCTGCTGCAATTGAGGAAGCATTTGGAGGTGCACGCATCTTTTCTACTGTGCATATTCCTGAGTATTGAGGTTTTGAAGAAGTGGGCCATTCAGTAGAAAATCTTACTGTGTCACTCCCACTGAGCTGCTGCTGGGCTTAAGGGGGTGAGGGGGAAAGGCAGCGTGATGCTGGGCTTTGGGAGCTCTTCATAATCCTTGGCACACCTGCCCTGTATGTGAGAAAGAAAATGCTTTGTAATGCTTTATGAGCTGAAGGACATAACAAAAGCTTTCCTTCTTTAATATTGATTAGTAATGTGGAGGTTTCTTCCTGCTGAGCTTGATACTTTAAAGTTAAATGGCTTAAACTTTCTGAAACCCTAAGGAAACCAATGCTGGCCTGCCTGGCCTCTGTTCTGCCCCCATGAGCTTCACTTCTGGCCCTGGCACTCTGGACTAAGTGAAACAAAACAACCAGCTAGCATGGCTAAGGGCTAAATTTCCTTTTGTTGATGGACCCTACAGCTGTCCTGATGGGTCTCACCAGGAAGTGCTTTTCTCTCAGCCCCACAGCCATGGCCACCAAGCTCCACACTGCAAGTGTGGAGTTTGCTCTGAAGAAACAAGACTCAATCATTTTTCAAGGCAGTTGTCATGTGTCCCAGTTCTCAGTGCTTCCTGAAAAAAACAGTAGGATTGAGTGATGGAGAGAGATACTTCACTACTGACATTATTTACTATTTGCTCCCAACACAACTGTCAGGCATGGCTATACCCCGTGATGACATGGTTGGAAACTTGCATTCTTGCATCCAGCCAAGGTCAAAGTGGACATAAGGTAAGTGCCATGCAAAGGTATGTCTTAAGTAGTTCCATAGAAAAGTGTCATCCATCTCCTGATCTATTGCCTCATGTTGGTTTTCATTCATTTAATTTCCTGGCTTTTCATCCTGTTCTTTTCCTGGACCAATCCCTGTATTTGGCAGTAGGGTTGAATCTATTGATAATTGATTGCACACAGTGCTTGAGTTCAAGGCTTGAGTCAGCATCTAGATCTCACCTGTTCATCAGTCTGCCACCCCATGGCAGCCATGCTTTTCTCTTGGATTTTGAAACAGTTGTATTAGTCATAATACTGGCCCAGGAGGTGCTGGGCTGCCATGTGGTGATTTCAGCTCAGTATCTTTTCATTTCACATGTGAAATTCATCTCATGACACTGAGACAAAATGCATTAGTAATGCTTCAGAGCAGGGATTGCATCACCCCCAGCTGGAGGTGTCCTTGTTACTGGTTTACAGGGCTGCACTCCAGGATGCTCCCATTCTCTGTGGAGCTGTTAATGAGCTATGAATCCTGTGTTTGGCATCAGAATGGCACACCCTAGGGCTGACAGGAATGGCTTATCTTGGCATTGCCCATCACTTGGTCACAGCTGCAGTTTCCTGCCTAGTGTGGAAGGGCTTTCACTTCTGTGGCCAAAAGGAAGACGTTGGCAAGCGGTGATTAATACTTTTTCTGAATTTTGGTTTTATGACTCCAGATGAGTCTCAGGAAGGTAACACAGCTCATTTCACATCACAATTGGCTCCTGCTGTTACTGCCATGACCTAATTGTTTTTATTTTCATTTTAAGAGTAAAAGCATTTAAACCCAACCTTATAAAGACCAATGAATAAAACAGACCAGTGAAAAAGGTGTGACTGAAGGCTTGAGGTAGGTGGCATAAATGAGATTGCTTAGAAGCTTGTTTTGTCAGTCATTATTCATCTGTTAGCAACTCCTGTGTGATCCTCTAAAGCATCAGCCGTCACTCATGTTTGACTGGGCCTGCTCTGTGTGGGATTTCCCTCACCCCAAGCCCTCCTGTTGTGTGTTTAGCTACAAAAGCTGCTCCATACCTGCAGGTTTTGTTGACTGCCTCTGTTGGTTTTTGTGTAGTTTTGAGAGGGTGCCTGCCAGCTGTCAGGACACAGGCACAGTTAAGCTCTCTCTGAATGTCCTCTAGCCCTAACATGAGCCAGCACTCTTCGTGACCTTTTCCAGATGTTTTTTCACAAACCTCCAGTACCTGGGTCAATGGAGTTTGCTTTGCCTGCCTCTTTAGTACTTTCCAGTCAGGAGGAGATAAGCCTGCTGCTGCAATGCTGTGAGGGGTTATACCACATTATGGCCATGACTAGCTCCCAAACCAAGTGTTTCCTCATTTTCTCTTGACTTCCCTGCTAGTGTGTTTGATCATGCTGCGCTTGATGTAATGCACACAAGCTGCTGAGTCACCCCTGAGCTGGCAAGGTTTTGTTGTACTCTTAACCCAATGTAGAGTGTTTGGTCCCTAGGCAGGCAGGAGCAAAGCTGGTGCCTCTTGGTTCCTTCTGAATCATGTGACAGCCAGCCTGGGGGAGCCTTTGCTCTCAGGGCAGGTTACCCTGCACTTCAGAGGCCGTGTACTGCAGGGTAGTGTTTCCAGGCTGGGCCATGGCAGCACCCTGGGGATGCTCCAGAAAAACCCTCAGTGTTTAGAATCATAAATATGCTGAGCTGGAAGGACACGTCAGAATCAAGTCCACTTCTGGCCCTGCACAGGACACACCTTGTGCCTGAAGGCATTGTCCAAACACTTCTTGAATTCTGTCAGGCTTGGAGCTGTGACCACTTCCCTGGGGAGCCTGTTCCAGTGCCCAAGCACCCTCTGGTTATGAACCTTTTCCTGATATCCAGCCTAAACCTCCCCTGATGCAGCTTCATGCCATTTTCTCAGGTTCTGTCACTGGTCTCAAGAGTGAAGAGATCACTGTCTGCCCCTCTGCTTTGCCTTGTGAGGATGTTGAAGATAATTACAGCAAGGTCTCCCCTCAGTCTCCTCCAGGCTGAACAGACCACATGACCTCAGCTGATCCTCATACAGCTTCCTCTCAGACCCTTCACCATCCTCATGGACCTCCTTTGGATGCTTTCTCATAGCTCTGTATCTTTTTTATATTATGGTGACCAAAACTGCGCACAGCACTTGAGGTTGGTCCTTTTGGATTGCAGCTCAGTGTCAATACAATGGAACATGCTTTTTATACATTATTTCACATATTTTAATAATAAAATTTTATTTTGTATATATATACATTTTTATAAATAAGACCTATACAATTTGTATGTCATGAATTTGTCTGTGTCCTCTGGAAAATTTGCTTTAGAAGCTGTTCAAGAAGGATGGGGATGTCTTCTGTTTTTCACGGATTATTTTACATACTACAAAGTTTAGAAAGCGTGTGTAGCTTTTGTAGTATCAGTGCTAATGGCTCTGATGTAAATCTGCCTTGAAATGGGATAAACTGCATTCAAAACTGTACTGAGCCCTGAAAACCAAGAGCTGGGCACCACAAATGCAGCATTTCAAGCACGCCTGAGAAATGAAATGGAGTATGGCGCAGTATTGGGAATTATCTGCTGGCGTGTGAACAAATACAGGCTCCATCAGGAAATCCTGCCTTCAAGCCAGTTTTGCTGCTCCACTGGTGATGTGACAGCTGGACCCACAGGGTTATTTCTGCCTCTGGCAAGGAGCTTAGAAACAAGGCTGCAGGCAGGTTTCAGATGCCTGTGAGCTCAGGGCTCCAAGTGCTGAGTTGCACATCCAGCCTCTGCCGGCGAGTGGAGAATTTTATTTTCAGTTCTGTTGAGATGTAGGAGCACAACCCAATGCCTGGCTTTGGGCAACTGTACAAGGCTCCCCAAAAATGCAAGGAAAGAAGGTATAAAAGAAAGGAATGCAGTAGGAGCTTGTGCTGGTTTATTCTGGGAGAAGTTTCCCCCTGCATCCCCCCCTCCGCCCCCCAGTGCTGCCTTACAGTCGCATGCTGGGAATATTTGTTGCATATCCACCTAACTGCTGATTGACACATACAAGGCAATAAACTTAATTAGTTAAAATCCCCTATGTTCTGATTGACTGCCAATGTCCAAAGTCCACTAGGAAAGACATGGGAGATAACATTTGTAAGGCGAGGCTATCTGGGCTTGCAGAGTATTTTTTCAATTAATTTCTGCCTAAGGATTGGCTGTGATACTTATCCACTGGCAAACCTAGTTTCAGATTTCAGCTTTAAAATATAATTGGCAGCTCAGCAAATTCATAAAATTGATCCCCATTCACACTTATTTTTGGCTTGCGTTAAGAATGTGCCAACCTGGAACTCTAAACTTAACCCCGAGTGACTTTCCCAGGGCTGCTGCCCTGAAAGGAAAGCCTGGCAGCAGCGCCTGGGCCGCGGCCAAGATAAATCCTGAGCCGCCGATGGCAGAGCAGTCACAGCCTGAACTGCAGGTGAGGGGAGAATAAAGAGACGGAATAAAGGGTAAATTTTGTAAAATGCGCCCTTTCTGAAACCTGTTATTGTGCATTTGTCTCTCAGTGCTCCACGGCCTGACCCTGCTGCGGCCCAGAGCCCGCCCAAGCTGCTGTGAGCCCTGCAGGACCGCCGGACACAAACCGCGGGACGAGGTCGGGCGTGTGTGGCGGGGTAACAGCGCCGCGATTCCAGCTCGCAGGAAGCTGCTGCAGCCTGAACTGCTGCTGGCATAGTCCAAGGTAAGGAAGCAAAAAGAGCCTTTGCATAATATCCACAGATGTTAAATTCAGCCGCGCGGTGAGATGTTCAGGCCCCAGACACACACATGGAGGGATAGAGGGCCCGGCTCTCTCTTCCCAGGGGCCTGGGGGCTGACCCCGGTCTCGGGGCAGTGCAAGGATAAGGGCCAGTCATGGGAATGGGAGGGAGTGCCTCAGGGACATAGGGACAGACATAGGAACGATCCAGTGTGGGGTAACGTAGGAGAAGCTCCCCAGGGCCTTCACAGAAGGCACCAGAATTGGCTCTGCCGGTGAGATCGAGCCTCACCCGTGGTTTCCTTCGGCCTGCGGGAGCCTCTCAGGCCGGGTCCTCGGCAGGGGAGCGTCTGTGCCGAGCAGGCCGAGCCCGGCCCGCGGAGCCTGCGGTGCACCGAGTCCCGGCGCTGCTCCTGCTGCTCCCGGGGCAGATCCCTCTGCTCTCAGGGAATCTCCTGCTGCTGCTCCTGGGCAGCTCCCGCTGCTCCCGGGCAGCTCCTGCTGCTGCTCCTGGGCAGCTCCTGCTGCTGCTCCTGGGCAGCTCCGCTGCTGCTCCCGGGGCAGATCCCTCTGCTCTCAGGGCAGCTCCTCCTGCTGCTCCCGGGGCAGCTCCTGCTGCCTGGATTTCCCCGAGCGCACGGCACCGCCGTGTGTTCAAAGAGGCCTCGGAGCAGCAAAGCCTGCTTCTAGTGCTGCCACATTGACACCTTGTGGCGGACTTGGCCACCGTGTTTTCTAGAAATATCGGTGCATGTCTAGGGATGTCGGCTGCGGGACGTTCCCTACAGGCTTCCATTTGGCTGCGGGCAAATTCAAACATTAGAACATCAAAGAGCAAAATGCAGAGGCTGGCCTAAACCAGTGTCTCCCAAATACCATCCCCAGTTGCTTATCAATATCATAGAAGATGAACCGAAATAACAGAAATAACTTGATTACTTTTTCTACTGATATAGAAAATTGGATTCTCTGCCTTTTTCCCCATAATATTTTTTATTTTACTTCCATTTAAATTGGTATTCACTTCTTTTCACCTTCTGTAAGGTTTAAATATGACCTAGGAAAGATGCTCTAAAGATTTAAAGATCTTCCATCTGCTTCTTTAAGTGGAGCCAGGTCTCCAAATCTACCACATGTCATATATTACGTTATGAACAAAAGGATATGCAGATGCTGAAGTTCTCAGAGAATGTTTCCCTGCTGGAAATAACATTTTTACAAGCTTCTGTATTCACTTCAGCCTCTTCCTAACAGGACCTCCTGTGGAGAGAACTCAGTATTTCTCATTCTGATGATGTTTTTGAATAACACTTATAATTGTCTGCCAATGGTTGTGTATATTTTGGCAATAACAAATCTGCTTGTCTACTAAATTTTCCTTAGCTCCACTTTTGGAGCTGTGGGGGGTGGACTGCAACTTTGCCAGGGCATCATGGCACTCCTTAGGATTTAGATTTCCCTATAGCTGGAGAATGTGGGGTTATTTAATGAAGTGCATTTTGCTGTTTACCAGTTCAAGTGGTAAAGGCCATCACAATTCCTCTGGGCTTCTCCTGCTGCCCCCTTGGCAAGCCTTGGCTGTTCTTCAGTCCTTGTAGGCAGTTCTGGTCTCTGCACAGCTCTCCTCCTGACCATGCCAGGAGAACTTTAATTCCTGCAGTAAAACAAAGTCTAATCTGGAAATAAATCACCAGATGGTGAAGTTATCTTTGTCCTGACTTTGTGTTCAGTGTTGTAGCTCATTTGGTTACTACAGCTGATGCTGCTTCTTATTTAGCACTTTTCTCAGTTGTTTGGAGTCTCTGCAGGTATTAAATTACAGATTCTAAATTCAGCAAGCTGAGAGCCACAGGAGAGCTGGGCCTGCTTTGCTCAGTCTTGCAAGTGTGCAGTTGGATGGCAGTCACCTTTTTCAGCCTTACTTTGCACAGCAGGGCCTTTCCAATGTTCATCCTACCATGTGTGACATTCAGTACTTGCTTCTTCAAGCTCTACTATTCATTAATTGTATTTAATATCTTTTTTGTTCTTTTCCTGAGAAAATCTACTTGTTTGTCCAGTGTGGCATTTTTTTTTATGCCACCCATATTTTGCTGCCTGCTCCTAGTTTATCTTTTTCTTCTGCCATCAAGTGCTAATGCCCATTTGTCTTCTGTATGGAACCAGCAGTGTTAGTAATTCCCTTCCATGCCCAAACTAGGGAATTGTAGGTGCAATGGAAGTCCTGAGCCCAACAAGGATGGGAGAAGAAAGGGAAGATGAGGAAACAGTTTGACTCAGGGAAAGAGGAGGAGCTGTGAGTGTGGTTAGGGTGAACAATCCTGATGCCACCATTCATGCACATCATCCAGTTTCCTGACTGCACTGCCAGCCCTGCCAGCCCTGAGGGGTTGTCCTGGCTCTGTGGCTCATCTCTCACATGGGCTGTGTTCTCTCCCTGCTCTGCTCCACTGCCGTGTCCTTTGGGCTGCATTTGCAAAGTCAGCACATCAGCACATCTCACTGAAGAGCTCCTCTGAGCCTGCTGCAAGACTTCAAGGCAGTGAGCCCAGCTGGGGGTGGAGAAGGGATGTGGCTAAAATACTATTAAAAAATCCCTTTGCTATCAATTGCAAGCCACAGCACTTTCTCAATAATGCTAATGGTGCTGTAGTATTAAACTCTTCTCAAGGGTTCAAAGCATCCTAGTCCCCCCAGTGCATGGGAGATAGATCCTACAGCAGTCTTGTGTATCCATGAGTGAGTGCAAGAGTTTGTCACACTTGGTGAAGTACAGGCCTTGTTCCTCCCAACATTTCTTAAGGCAGAGAGAAGTCATGTTCTATTTAATTTTTTGTGATTAGTTCAAATATTTACTTATAAATTGTGCCAGTTTTTGTGGGAACTGAGTTAAAATATTACCAAGATTTCTCAGAATAATTGGCAAATACAAGTATTTGATACCAAGCAAGATTATCAGCTTTATAGACTGTTCATGGCATTAATTCTTATGGTACCTCAGCTCACCACATGAGTAGGCTTGTCACCCATGTTCTGTGAAGGAGTGAGTTCTGTATTTTAGCAGAGATGGTGGGAGGTGTGTTGGGGTTCCCAGGACTGCAAAGAGCACCCTCCTTCCTTCCCCCTTCTTATGCTGAGGAGCTATTGCAGGGCTGACCCAAGATTTCTCAGTGAAATATTTGTGTTTAGTTTCCCTAGCCTCTTGCAAGGGAGGGTGTCTCTGGCTTTCTGCCTTTTTGGGGAAGGGCTGAGTGTAGAGAAAGTAAAAGGATTTTTTTCTCTGGCTTTTTTTTTTTTTGGCTTTTTTTTTCCTGACTTTTTTTCTTGAAACAAACTTGGCAGCTCTGCAAGTCTCCCTTGGGAAAGCAGCCCATCTCCCGGAAGATTGCTCTCAGCGCTTCCAGCTTCTTCTAAAAGAGCCTTGACAACCAAAAAGCAAAGAACATCAAGGGCTTTCTGAGCCTGTTAAGATTTATGGGCTCATTTGCAACTTGGCAGCGAGAGCTGGCCTCAAATGCATCTCAGCAGAGACACCAAATAGCAACAGCCTCTCAAATGCCCTGTGTCCAAGAGCCGCCGCCTCCCTTCTGTTCTCAGCCCTTTCCCTGCTCCAGGGCCCGACAAAGGCAGACAGCAATCCCTGCTCTGGAAAGTGCCAAAGGCCCTGCAGCAGGAGCTCCTGAGCCCCATGTGCTCGTGCTGTGGTGGAACAGGGAAGCACTCCCTGCTTTCTGTGGGCTCCCGGCCAGCAGCAGAGCTCCTCAGGCAGTGACACAGCGCTGCTGCTGAGCTGCCCTTCCGACAAAATCCCCATGAGAAACAACACTCTGGTGAGCACAAGAGCCAAGAGAAATCAAGTTCTGTTTAGCACCAAGGTCTGATTTATTTGCTCAGACACTTTCTCAGCAGAGCACACATTCTATGTATTTTACAAAAAGATTCTCAGTAAATATGACAGAAATTAAAAGGAAAAAAATTAAACATTGAGAGGGCTTTGAACAACCACCAAATTCCTGTGCATCCTCAAAGGAAAAGGAGAAAAGTTCATGCACATCTCCAGCAAGCCAAGGGCACCATGTAAAGGCAGTGTGCCAATTTTCCCATGGATTTTTAAGTGCTTTGTGTATTGAAATATGTAATGTGCATGCCAGACATGGAAATTGATGTTGACATGCACAGTTACATCCTGCTCCATTGCTGTGTGTGTGTTTTCTAGATGCTGCCATTTGGAACTTGCTCTGTTTGGGTGGAAGGTATTTTTCCACTTGGCATCACATTTTGTCTCTAGTATTTTTTGAGGTATGTCACAGAGAATTTATTCCATAGTTTTGTTTTAACTTCTGGTTTGTTAGAACTTCTAATCCTTATGTAATATGTAGTGGATAAATTTGTAAGCCATTCCAATAATGCATAGGAGATATGGAAAATACAGTCATGTTCTATGAATATAAGTTGCACCTCCAAAATCCAAATTGCTGTTTCTTGGAGCCAACCATAGGGGCATAAGAAATTAAATAGACACAGTATATTTATTTTCTGCAGATTCTTCAAAGACCATAATAAAAAAAAACACCAAAAAACCAAAAGCTGGTGGTGGTTTCCAGAGGCAAACAGGTCAAACTATCACAGCTTTCAAAAAATTCATCATGTGCTAATGTCACTAAGGGTAAATTACTGCTACCTTTGCAGAAGCAACAGAATTCCAGCTTCTCATTGAGGACTGTGTTTAATTCCTGCCTGGAACTAATAACCTGTACTCACTTCAGAGAAATGAGATACTGTAGGGTCAGAGAGCTTGAAAATCCCACCTGAATGTTGAAGCAAGAGTTCTAAGATGACTGGGACTGCAGGAAAAAAGAAAACAAAACCAAAAACTAAACAAAATAACAACAAAAAAACCCACCACGTAAGTAAAATCCAGAAAATGAAGACATTATTTAGGACAAAGTGTTAAAGATGTTACAGAACACATTTTATAATGTGTTAAAACATTTTTAAAACATGTCATACTGACATACTTAAACTTTGGTATAATGCCAAAAAGCCTCCAGGATCAACCTTGCTAATTGAACTGAACCTGAAGCATTTGGTGGAATAATGCAGAGATTAGCAGCTTTACAGCTTACTGGAAATCAAACATGTCCTAACAGAACATGGTTTACTGTATAATTGCATTTTGGGGCCACGTTTGGTAATTGTGAGTTAAGTCAACAATAGATTTCTTGTTCAGTGCAGGAGACACTTGTGCAGGAGACACTTTCAAGCTTTTTTTATTTTTTTTTCTCTTTAGCATCATCTGGACTTCTGGATTTTTTTAATTACCAGCCCCAAGCCCTCAGTCCACACCAGGACTTACATTGAAGATGACTTCCCTGATTTTATTTATGCTCTGTGTGTCCCTTTTCTGAGAAATGTACCTGTGTCTTCCTTCAGGTGCTCTGGTGCACCTCCAGCCCCTCTGCTGGGGTTCTGTGTGCTCTCAGCATGGCTTTAGAAGCACGAGATGTAGCTCTGAAAGCCTCCTGGCAGCGGGCTGGGCTTGGATCAGGTGATGACAGGGACCCAGAGCTGCCTTCCAACAGGGAGCACAGCCCTGTGCTAGGGAACAGGCCAAATCACCTTCTGTGCTGGCTGAGCAAGCACAGTTCTTTTACAGAAGTTGAACCATAGGTTGGACTCTAAAATCACATCTAGTGTTTCAGGGTGTTAATGAAAATCTGTGCCATCCTCAACCCAGGCCCCAGTGAGGTTCAAGTGCTGGCAGCCCAGTAACCCTGAGCCCTCCTGTTCTCTTTCAGGGGAGGTGGAATGCAATCCCATTGCTGTGGGTGGCAGCCTTTGCCTTGACTTGATGCCTGTATTTGTATTCCTGGAGCAGCTGTAATCCTTGCCATAACACCCTCTAAAACAGTTAGTTAAGACTCAGATAAGCCTCAGTTAGTTAAGCCTCAGCATCTTCTTGCCCTGGGATTTGTGCTGGTTGGGAATGGTTTGCTCTGGAGGTTTCACAAATTTCTGCGTCTTTCAATCATTAAAGTCCAGCAGGCAATATCATAGAATCACAGAAGTGTTTTACTTGGAAGGGACATAAAAGATCATGCAGTTCCAACATCCCTGCTGCCATGGGCAGGGACACCTTTCACCTTTCACCAGACCAGACTGTTCAGAGCCCCATCCAACCTGGCCTTAAACACTTCCAGGCATGGGGCATCCACAACTTCTCTGGGCAACCTGTTCTAGTGTCTCACCACCCACTCAATTAAGGATTTCATCCTCAAATCTGATATAAACCTACCCCATCTCAGTTTGAAGCCATCCCCCTGTGTGCTGTCACTGGAGTTCCTGATTAAGAGTCCCTCTCTGGCTTCCTTGTAGGATCTCTTCAGATGCTGGAAGGTTTCTATGAGGTCTCCATGCAAACTTGTCTGCTCCAGGCTGAACAGCCCCAGCTTCCCGAGCCTGTCTTCACAGGGGAGGTGGTCCAGTGCCCTTATCCTGGATACTGGGGTACAAAGTCACCACCTGGCTCATCCCAGTGTACGGATAAGGGGAGCACAGCTCCCTGTGTATGTTTATTTGCTGGGCAGAGGGTGGATTTGCAGCTGGGGTGTGCCAGTAGTCCCTGTAAGCGGCACTGGGGTAGGCATGGGCGTTCTGGAATAATCCCGTTCCGTCGCTGGGCTCCAGCTGGGCTGGCTGCCCCGGGGGCTGGCCGGGCACACAGCGCTGCTGGAGCTGGGCATGAGGATGGGGCTGAGCATGGGGATGGGGATGGGGCTCGCCGTACGGGGGCAGCCGGGCAGGGCACAGAGCCGGGCACTGCCGCAGCAGAGGCTGCTGGCTCTCCAGGGCCTGTTCGTGCTGAGCACCGCGAGGGAAGCAGCGGCTCCCGTGTCCTCCGGGCACACCCGGGCGCTCCCGAGCCCAGCCGCGCTCCGAGCACATCCCGCCGGGCACGGCCGGGAGCGCTCCTCTCTGGAAAGGGCACCCGGGAGAGCCGGGGCGCTCCAAGCCCCGAGGGGGATGAAGTGAGAGCAGCTTGTGCCTGAGGTCGGAGCAGGGCTGGGGGCTGTCCGTGACGCCCCTGTCCCGAGAGGTGCACCGGGACCAGCTGCAGCCGTAGGTGTCCTCACGGATGGACACCGCTGACATCTTCTCCAGCAGCGGCTCTGGCTGCGGCAGGCGCGGGTCCCTCCGCAGGTCAGAGCCGGCGCTGCCGGGCCAGGCACGGAATGTCTGCTCCGAGCAGCCGCCCTGGGACCGGCCTGGGCAGCGGGAGGGCCCCGAGCAGCCTCGGGCTTCCCGCAGAGTTTCTGTGCAGGCGTGGCACGGGGAGCACTGACACCTCTCCTCCTCCTTACCCTGGGGTAACGGGACCTTTGTTTTGGCCCTGAGCTCATCAGCAACCGAAAGCTGAGCTTGATGTTGTCTCTCTGGATGGTAAAATTTGCATTTGTTGCCATAGGTGCATTTTTTACCTGAAAGGATTAAAACAAATCAGGCAGGAAGCTGTCACTAGAACCAACAACAATTAATGTACACATCGCCTCTCCCCAGCACTGAGTGTGACAAACACAGAAAAAGAGGAAGTACTATTTTCAAACTCAGTACTGTTGACTCCAGATTTAAATATTGCTGATATTAATAGCAGCGTGAAGCAGCAGTGAAAGGAAGTCTTAGCTATTTTGGAAGTGTCTGATATTCATGTTTCAGTTCCTGCACTCAGTGGGCTGGGAGGCCTGCTGCTGCAAAACGTGGCTTTAAAAAATGGCATAGGGATTTACCTCTGAGAAACCTGCAGGTTGCTGGGGGGCTGTCGGGAGGGGAGAGAGGGAAAATGTTTGGATGGCCATTCCCAAGTGCTGCAGCAGAATCCACTCCACCAGGTGAGAAGTGTGTGTGGGCAGGACAGCCAGCACAGCCACAGTGCCCGTGGGTGCTGTGTGCAGGCAGGGATGGAGGGGCCACAAACATCTGCTGCCTTTGCTGAGGCTGCAGCCACTCAAGCAGGAGGGGGAAAAGCATCACACACCTTGGAGCAAGCCCAGCCCAAGTGCTCACCACACGGAGCAGGACAGCACGTGGCTGAGGGAGAGCGCTGCTGGGAAGCAGGGGGCACTTCACAGCATGGGGAGAAACCCACCATAAGGGCAAGGCTGCCATTTTTTCTCAGGAAGCACTGGCTTTTTGCTGAGGAAGTTACTTAAGGTGGGTCCGTGCCGGCCTAATGGATCGTCGGGAGGCATAAACCTGGAAAAGTAAAAGAAGCCATGGATGTGAGCACAGGTCTGTGCACACTGGATGTCTCAGTGAAGTGCATCTCCCCTGGACACCTCAGCTATTAAAAACTCAGGACAGAAGAGAGGTTAGTGTGGAGAGACTGAGGAGCACTCAGCCCAGCCTCGTGGGCATGGTGGAAGAATGAAAACCTTTTTTCAGCAGGGATGGTGAAGGGCCAGAGAGACCAGCTTCTTGTCTCTTCTAGCAAGCCATGACTGTAGAAATACAGGGAAAAGTCCTTTTTGGTCATGTAGGGGAATTAAAAATACTGCCAACCAACCTACTCTCATGGATTTCATTCTGCTTCTTACAAGAAATAGAAATGAAAAGATACCAGCCCTTGGTTCAACATCACAAATTGGATTGGAAAGAAGCAAAGCTGGTCATTAATGCTGCCATTCAAAATTCTTAGAAGAGTGACATGGGAGGTTTTAAGACCAAAGCTGAGGGAGTAGGACACTGAAGAAACAAGATAAGAAAAGCTGCAGTAAATCCTTTCATAAAAAGGCTTATGCATTCTGCTATTGATGGGAGGTACTCCAATGCTGGCCCATAATGTTTAAATTCCAGGTTCTATAACACCATCATCCCCTACCTGTTACTGACAAAGGAGTACATGAGCAGTCGCTGCTCAATGAACCATTTCCACTCGGGGTTTTCATTCTGGAGGTCCCGGTAGTGGTCATTGGAAACAATGACTCCATCGCTCTCATAAGCGACTTTCACTATGTAGCGATCGTCGTAGCAAACCACCCGCTTGCCCTTCACCTTCCTGGAGGGGGTGTACACCAGGATGGATTGCTTCTCCAGCTCCTCAAGGATGTGCTGATCTGGTGGGGGATTGGCAGAAGTAGATGAGGGAAGTAAAAAAAATGAAAGAGGAACTAATTAATAAATTATGACCAGGTCTCAAACATCTGCTAGAAACCTACAACAATCTAAAGATATTTCAGCACTTTGAAAATTGCACCATGATTTTCCTAAATGGTGGTTATTTGACAACTTGAAAATTAGGTCATTTACAAAGAGGTTTTACTGAACCTGTAAATTCTGAGACATCCTTTTTTGATTTTTAAGCCTTATCTGTAAAAGAATGCCTTGAATTCTATGCCAGAGTCTGATACTGAATCCCTGCAGTGCCCTTTTTACCCTGCTCATAACCAGCCCTGATGTAAGCTTTGCATGGAGATAAAATGTGTGTGATAAAATACATAAATAAACTACTTCTGCTGCTGTTGAGAACACTCTGACCTCCTGCCATTCCTTCTTTGCAGGAAGGCAGATCTGCCTCATCTGCAGACACTAAGCTGCTGGCACAAACCTGGCTGATTTCCAGACCAAATATTTCCCCACAAACCGAGTCTCACTCCCCTCTGCAGATTTCTGCTGATGCATTTTCCTCTCCTGGAAGGGGAGGGAGCCCATGCACCCTCTGTGCTGGGTGGCAGGCTGACAGATAGCAGCCATGCAGTAATGAGCATCACTGTCTCCTGGCAGGCCTCAAAGGCTCCACAGACTCATTGCAAGCTGACAAACTCCTTCTTTAACTCAGCTTGGCAGCACCTTGTGCTTGTTAAGCAGAAGGTTTAAAGCAGTGTAACAAAGCCTTGTAAGCACTTTTAGCTGCCAGCCAGGAGCATGAATGGGGCAATGAATTAATGACTCATTCAAGTGAGGGAGGACTGGTACACAACTTGCACTGTGCTTGTCTTTACAGGAAAAACAACTGTACCGGGCTCTTCACAGCCCCTCTGTCTCCAAACTGCACCTGATGGCTGCCAAATTCCACCAGGATGGTGACCTACCTGCAATGGGGCTGTCTTGTCGAGGGGGTTCCTTCCTCCAGAGTGGGACAAAAACCTTGATGTCAGTGTGCCCCCTCTCTCGAAACCAATCGACCGCCAGCTGGATGCCCCAGCAGGAGAACACCTCCTTGTTTCCATGACTGTAAAGAAAGAGAGAGGATGATGAGGCAAAGCTTTCATGAAGCTTAGAGTTCTCTTGAACTGAGCCAGTAATGAAAAGGCAAAATAAACAGCTTTTGTGTCATTCACCAGTTTCCAAGAAAACAACTGGCAGGGTGTCCTGGTGGGACAGATCCAAACAGCTCCTCCAGCAGAGCCAAAGATTTATCTGAAACAGTTTGGATACTTAAAAACAGAGGTATCCTATCCCCCATTTCTGTGATCCAAGCCTATTCCTTCCATCTCTATCTGGATGGACTTAAGTTCTAAAGTACCAACAAGAACTTAGGCCTTGTAAAACCCTTCACATGCCTTGTCTGAAAAAGGTTTGAGGGGTGAGAGTTTCTTCCTGCACAAGCAGAAACCTGTGAGGCTCCTGTGAGAAACAAAATGTGGGAATTTTCTTCTGTGGTAACAGGGCTATTGGAGATTTTAATGGCTGAAGGTGTGATCACAGGGCACTCCACTGGTGATCTTTTTTGGAAACATGAGACAAAATAAGGGGAAAGAAAAAAGGAGAAAGATAGGAAATACAGAGAACCAAAAAAGAGACAAGACATCAGTGGAGATAGCCACAGGCACCTCAGGCCCACTTTTATCTTTCTCTAGTTGTTGGATATTTTCTTCATTGCACAGAGAGGTAGGAAAGCCCTAAGACAAGTGTTCTAGAAGTGCCAGCAAGGTGGGTTCTGAAGAATTCAGACAGAAAATAACCTCAAGGAAAACAGCTGGGGGTGACATCCTTCTAAATGTGCCTAAGCCTGCCTTGAAAGCTCCTACTGCTTGACATTCACTTATCTAAAATTTGACTGCAGCACAGTGTATGTGTAAAGGAAGGTAGTTTGTTAACCACCTCTGCACAAGGAAATTAAAATTTTAAAATTGGTTAATTTAATTAATTTAAATTAATTTAATTTAAATTTGTACCCAAAGTCCTAAGTGGATAAATGCCTTCACAGTATCTGCAGAATGCTCATCCTCGTACTTTGACTTTTCTGCATATCTGCCAGTCTCACTCAGGCTTTCCCTTCTGCAGAGGCCCTTGGGAATGACTCCCTGCTCCACCCACCTGCACTGGCAGACCAGTCAAGGGTGATGCCACAGTCTTAAATGAGTCTCCCACCACCCTCCCAGGGACTCATCTCTAGGATCTGTTTACACCAGCCTCATAATCAAGGCTGATTTTACACCCAATAAAAGTTTCTGTCCTGAAATGGTGACCACAGATGAAAATAACACAATTTGTAGGAAGAAACCTGGCTGCCTATCAAGAGCTACCAAGGCAATAGGAAGTCATTCAAAACCCTTAGCAATAATAAATGGTCTGAGGTGCTTGACACATCTAATCTCCATTTTAGAGCAGTGTTTTGTTTGGTTTTAAAGGATGGGATCCTTCCAGGATATTAATAACATCATCTGGACTGCTGAATTGGAAGTTTGAGTGACTTTTTCAGATAACTGCCTGTAAAAGGCAGTTCAGGTACATCTTTGATGCCATGACTCAAACAAAGTTCAGCAACATTTTTCTTAATTATTGGCTACTTGTATGTATAATCCCTTTTTCAGATAACTGCCTGTAAAAGGCAGTCCAGGTACATCTTTGATGCCATGACTCAAACAAAGTTCAGCAACATTTTTCTTAATTATTGGCTACTTGTATGTATAATCCCGTGCAGAAAATGAAGTACTCAAGCACAAGTGGGTCAGCCAAAAGGCCGAGTGGAGCAAGGAAAGTGAGGAACCTGGAACTTGTCATTATCAGCTGATGCAGCTGCTGCCACACTGCTGCAGCCAGAGCTGTGGCTGAACCCCCTGAACCAGTCTGTGCCCGTGTGGGAGCTGCAGGTCCCCACGGAACACCAGGGACTGCTGTGCAATGGAGCAGAGCCCTCAGAGCTTCCAATCCTCCCTCTGTGGCACACACTGGCTCCTGCCAGTCACCTTTCCCACAAAACCCCGGAGTCCATGGGCCATAACCCGTCCATGATCTGTCATAGCTCAGTCTCATCTCTGCCTCTTGCCAGCAACAGGGTACACTGCACAGGGTCACAGACCTGCAGGGCCCATCTCTCAGAAAATGGAGCAGCAGTTTGGCATCTCTGTGACTCCAGCAGTTAATCCATCATTAGCATTCTTTTAAAATTGTGCCATTCCAGCTCCCTGGGAGGTAGTTTAGGCAAACCAACTCCTTTTGAAAACTGCAAATGGCCCAATCTTCTTGTGATCATGACACAATATCAGCCAAAGCTTTGTCAGAAAGGCCTAGGAGCAGGCCTCTGTGGCTACCACAGCTTTAAAACTAGGTGTAAGTGCAAGCACTAGGGGAGACAGCAGTGTGCAGTGAATATGGTTATGACACTTCCCTTTTTCTATTTATACAACTCCATTTATTTTTTCCACCAGCCTTGCTCAACTTCCCATGGGTAGGCTGGCAGGAGGCAAAATTTCTCATTACACCTGATGGAAACACCAAATGTACTGAGATGTCTGATGAATGAGACTGGCTGAAGGCAAGGTCATTTTCCATTCAGCTTCTCTGGGTAGGCTGACTGATGGCTGGAGACTGCCCAGCCAGTTGCTTTATTACCCTGGGGCATATTCCTCCTTTTCAAAACCTTGTGTTCTTCAGTGGGCCCTCAATATTAATTCCACAATGCTCCAGAAACAGCAACCCTAAGATATAAATGTAAATGCTTGAGATATCCTTCTCCACACAGACAACTGCCCATTGAAGCTCTAACTTCTCTATTGTTTCATTCTTGAATTGCTGCTTCTGCTGCACTTTTATGGTTGCTGGTATTGATGATAACGGAGTTTTCCCCAGCAAGGGAACCTAACATCCCATTCCCCTGACATCTGCAAACAGTCCCTCTCTGTCAGTCAGCAGCAAACCAGAAAAATTAAAGCAAGGATGCTGAAAGCACTGACCAGGCCTACCCCATTGGCCAAAGCAAGTGTCATTCAGCACCACTTTGAAAGGCACCCAGGAGAGGAAAGCAGCTGCTCCCTTTCAGTACCAGCTGAACTGACAAGCTCAATAGTCTCCTCCACCATCCACAGACTCATTATCAAGGCAGAGTTTGGGATGTCTGAGAAGAGCTGTAAAACCTTTGCCTTTCTGAAACTTAAAGCTGCTGTGCCTGGAGAGCAGAGAACAGAGCCCAGGGCCCACCATGGGTAATACTGACCCTGGCACAGTGACAGGGCGGGTGATGAGCCCAGCCACACTGCCTGAGTGAGGGCTCAGCTCTTTTGCAGAGAGGCAAGAAAGACACCTTGAGGAGGGGCTTGGGTGAAGAGGCAGAGCAGGGCAGGAGATCCTAACACCTGGCTACCAAGCTCATGGCCCAGTCAAGGCCAAACAAATTTGGGCCCAGTCAAGGCCAAACAAATTTGGGCCCAGTCAAGGCCAAACAAATTTGCTCTGTTGTGTCTTTCCCACTCCTCGTGAGCTGCCTTGAGCAGGGAACCTCTTGGCTTTGTCTGGGATTTCTCCCTTCACCCACAAGATGGCATAATTTGCTAGTCTCCGGTTTCTCTGGATGTGTTTGGCCACTTTTCGCTCCAGCCAGAGGGGATTTGGTCTCATCTCATCTCACAGAATGGCCAACAGAAGGAGGAAGCCTTCTTTAGCCCTGTCCCAGCCTGCAGGGATGGGCTTGGCCCTGCTGAGTGGACAGGGAAGTTAATAGAGAAAACAGATGGATAGCCAGTGCATCCTGGGCTCTTGGCTCTGTATTGCTTGGATAAACAGAGGCCAACTCACTGCTGCCTTGGGACATCCCATCCATCCACAGGGACATGCCAGGCTCCCCACCTCTAAGAGCACTTTGACAGCACCAGGGCTGTGCTCAGGAAATGTAGTTGGCCAGCAGGGGTTGATGAGACATTTCCCAGAAACTGACGGAGGAGGAAATGAATCTATTCAATACAAGACAACTATCAATGCCCTGATATTTACCTGAAACAGAAGCCAAATAGAAATCCAACAAAAAAAAAAATAACATTTTAAAAAATTTTTTAACATTTTAACATATTTTAACAAATAAAAAAATTATTTTAACAAAAAAAATTATTCCAACAGGCTGGAAATGTTCCCAGCTTGTATAATTTTTGTTGGTTTTCCATTTGGCTTCCATTTACTTTTGGAGTTTACTTGCAGGACAAAGCAGTAAAACTGTGATAATTTTAGAAACCACAGCCACCTGACTTTATTTCCCTCTCTTTAGATTAGTTGGGTGGTCTGTCTATCTGTTCATCAGATTTTGCCTGGAAACATCTCAGGTTTAGAAATCCTAGGTGCCCATTTGGAAAGGGAGTTTTAATTTACTGGTGAGCTCCAAGGGGGAGACACTGCCAGAACCAGTGGGCAGAGGCTGCCTCAGGTCAGAATGCAGAGCCAGCCAGTGTTTGCATGTGATGTGCATGTCCATGGGCATCCAGACAGCAGGTCCTTAAAAGCTGTGCATCAGCCAAAGAACAGGAACAAGCAATAGTTCATACATCAAATGCATCAATGCACCTCTTACCTGAAGGAAAAACACACTTCAAGCCATCAGTTTTAAAAGCTTCAGAGGAAGCGAGGTGCCTTTCAGGAAATGAGCTTACCTCATGGCAACATTGCTGCCATCGATCACAATGGGCCTCAGGGAGTCAGAAGAATCACTTTCATCTTCTCCAGGCCACTTCAGCCCCGGGGAGGTGCTGCACGACCCACGGGCTACCAGCTTCAGCTGGGAAGGCTGAGCCTGGTCCTCCAGAGCCTGAGGTTTGCTCCCCATCCGAATCAGCTCCTTCAGCACATCATCCTCCAGCGCCTCTTGGCCCAGGTTCTCCAGCACTTTGCAGATGTCCTGCTTACCATAGCCCAGCTTGCAGAAAAAATCCATCTTACTCTGGTGCACTTCCACCCCGGCTGCAGAAACTTTTCTGGAGTGTGGTGGTGCTGCTTTGCTGGAAATTGAACCGGCCAGTGCCATTTTTGCAAGTATTTATGCTCCTTTAAGTCTGATGATCCTGTCTTCCCAGCCGTGTCCCACAGGCATCAGCTTCAGGGAGGGAAAGATTAGCAACAACAAAACACAAGCATTAAGGAGGAACATGCAATCATCTCAATCCTTTACCTAGAGCACAGCAGAGACCAGCAGATTAGCTGTGCTCTCTCTGAGGAGACTGCCCAGCCTTCTCTCAGCGTTAAAGCAGTTTCTGCTCCGCTCTTAACTATAAAAGCAGCAGAGTGTCCCATGCGATGTTCGTCACCCTCCCAGCATTGTGTCAGACAGGTGTCACTTGACTGGCGAGCGGTGCCAGGCTGCTGTGCGCAGACAGGCTGCATGCGTGAGTTGGTTCTTCAGACTTATCTCACAGGAAATGACACAAAGGGGATTTTCAATCTGCTCTGTGGTTTCTCAGCCCCAGAGAAATATCTGTCAAGTTTTACTGGATGGGCTCAGATGCCATAGCAACTTAACAAGCATAGCAAATTTTATCCAGTGATTTAAGGAAACATGCTGTTTGTAAAGTACGTGGAAACAGATTTTTTTTTAATAGTTTCCTCTTTTCTACTGTGTGTCTGTGTGTATACAGACATAAATTCTGAAATTCTGTCATTCATCAGTTCTAATGATGCCTGACTACTCTTTCCTGTTATTTGCTATTTTGGTGAGGGCTTTTATTTTCAGAGAAGCTGATTGTTTTTTTGAAAGCTGTCAGGACAGTGCCTTGAAGCAGGTGATCCAGAAAGCGGTTTCAATTTCACTTACATCTATCGTCAAAGTAATTCAGAAATAAGTGTGCAAAAGTAGCAAAAAAGCAACTTTATATTCTCCAGAACTGCACCACGTAAATTTCTGGTCTACCCTGTGAATAAAGGTGATGGGCAGCACAGTCAGGGGTACCCTGAGCAGCCCAAGCCCAACAAGGAGAGCATACACAGTGACCACTCATCTGTCAAGCCAAACACCTTCAGTCTCTGTTGGCTTGCTTGCACTGAAGCATCTCTTGTCACATCACTGAAATTATTGGTGCTACCTGGTTAAAAGCTGTGGCTGGTTCTTCTACCCACACAAGGGATATGAGGGTGGCCCCCTTCCCTTTGCTGGCTGCAGTCAGATGCAGATTTAACTGACCAAACAACACCTCTGTGCTGAGCCCAGAGCCAGAGCCACATCCCACCCTCCAGCTCCCCTTCCCAGCCTGCCATTCCCTGCCCAGCAGTGCCCACCCCAGGAGCCAGAGGCTGGCACCATGTGGAAGAAGGCATGGAGGTACTGGAACAAGCAGTGGGAGAGGATTCAGAGTGAAGCTCCTCCCCAAGGCATAAGAGCCTTCTCAGGCTGTGGGGAAGAAATCCACACTGGGTTCAGTTAATTTAAAACTGATTAGTTCAGCAGGAAAACATGGTAATTAGTTATAACTTCACCTGGTGAAACTTTGATTTTTACTTTTCTATGTAGCTTTATAAATTTCAGGTACTCTCTGGAAGAAATCTGGCCCTCGGTTAAAAATGACAAACAGCATCAATAAAATAAAACATACTTTAAATATGTCATAACTGTAAGGGGAAAACAGTTACCATGTGTATTTTTCCATCTAAACTAAAACATTGCTTACTTTAGTCAGTGACTGTTTTCCTCACAATGAACTCTGTAACATTTTTCACATCTAATCCTTGATTTTAATTCATGGACTACAGATGAAAATTAAAATGCTTTTTCATTATTGAAATGTTTTCTCATCTTTGGAACAGCTACCGTCTGAGCTGAAATACACTGATGTAACAAAATAAAACAGAAGCAGTCACATCTGGGCTAGCACCACAGTAAAACCTGCTTCCAGGTATGCAATTAGTGGCTCCAAACACTTAAAGTTTGGAGTGTGTTACTTAAAGTGTGCTACTTCATTTTTTTTAAATGCCTAGACTTTTAAAACCATATTATTGATAATTAATAATAAATATTAATAATATTAATAATTAATTAATAATAAATATTAATAATAAATAATATTGATAATTCCCCAATTATCATATTATTGATAATTAAAACTTTTCTTACTATATCTTCAGGTTGAAAAGATTTACCACATATTTTAATTGCCATTACTATTATTTTCAAACCTGTACTTCTGTCTACTCTGATGCTTTTTCTTTTTTTCTTCTTTTTTTTTTTTCTTTTTTTTCCCCCCTTTATCTTTTACTATCAGAACAATTTCCCATGATAGCACCACATTGTGTTGCATGGGTGTTTTTCCCTGGATTTCACCTGAAATTAGGTTGGATTCAATCCTTTAGAATTTTACCAGCTGCAGAGGGGGCAGGGGCCACATCCACCCTGCAGCCTCCAGCACACACGAGCAGGTACTGGATGGAAGTTGTTCACCACAACACTTTCCCGGCTCCATCCCAGGCAGCAGCAAGCCCGTGGTCCATGTCTGCACACTCTGCTTCTTTTTGCAAGGCTTGGTCCCTCTGTGCCAGCAGTGAATCCCCTTGGCCTGGGGAGCTTGGGAAGCGCTGAGCTCTGGATGCTGCCTGGCCTTGATGAGCTGCAGCATCAGCCATCACCAGCAGCGTGGCAATTCTGCAGAGTTAACCACTGGATTTGTGCTGCAGTGTGGCCAAACATCATAAATGGGTGATACAGGCACTGCAGGGTTTTCACCACAGAGAGAATAATTTGGAAAAACAGATGGAAGCCTTGGTCACAGAAAACACTGAGGTCACCCTTCTCAAGGGGGAATTAAAGGGCAATAAAATCCCTGGCTTACACATTAGTAAACAGTCAGGAGTGTGCCCAACTCCAGCATGTCAGCTGGCTGCTTATAACCAGCATAACAACATGACAAGAAGAGAAATTGTGTATCACAGAGTCCAGCTTTTGCTATCACAAACAGGTTGTGAAATTCCATTTATAAACTTTATGACCTTCATCTGCAAACTGCCTAGATTTCCTCCTGCCACTTTTCTCCCTTCATCTCAGCTGATCCCACTGGAATCTGTTTTTGTTTTCATTCCACTGAAAGCCAAAGTCTTCTCATTTCATAGAATAATTTATCCACAGATAATGGTGTGCCCATCCTATGTTCTAGCTTAAAAAGCACTCTGTGTTGTTGTGACTCCTCTTACAGATAGACACACACAGAGAAGAAATGGCTTCAGTCAGATTTCCAAAATTCTATTTCAGTCTTAACATTTTAGAAGGTTAATATTTCAATGAGTACTTTTGACCAAAAAAATATCAAAAAACCTCCTATGTTTTTCTGCCTTTGGTATATTTGGACAGATTTTTAAGATTAGAAAATTATAATTGAGAACAGTTTTCCAAAGAAGTGGTGGTAACTACTACATCTTGAATGACTTTAAAGAATGATCTTTCCTTCCACCAGGTGTTCGCTCCTCTTCTGACCAGAGCAGCACCTCTGGCAGCCTCAGGGCACAGAAGCACAACCAAGGACCAGTTTGACTCCCAGGGCTCCTCAAAGCCCCTCAAAGGCCAGTTCTGCCCAAGCAGAGGCAGAGGGGATCAGCCTCAGACACACCTGGCACTGGTCAAGGCAGAACAGGATAAGGTGTCACATCTCTAAAGTCCATGTGCATGGCAAGCAGCACAGGGAGCACAGCTACAGCTCCCTGCCACCACAGGGCTGCCCCTCACACCCTGGGGCTGGACCACTTCACCCTCTGCCTCCTTCACCCCTGAGGACTGACTGCCCATTTGAGCCCTGCCATGTGGTGGGGCTGCTCTGCCTTCAGAACATTAAGAGTTTTTATTTTCACAAATGAAAGGTGCACATAACTCTTCACAGCAACACCAGACATTTGTTGTCTTGATGACTAAGAAAAGATTTGCCTTTTTCTTCCCCACCTTCCCCTGCTCCAGCTGTGCCCACAGGTAACCCCTCTTGCTCTGCACCTTACCTGGCAGCTGCTCTTTCTGTGGCCCACAAGTGCTGTCCCACCATCCTCCAGCCAGAAGCTGGACTAAGAGCAGTACCAGGCTCACAAGGAAGTCACCAGCTTGTATTTAGAGAGGTAAGGCTGATGTAACTGAGGCAAATAAGTGCAGTGGGCAGAACTCATTTTATAGGAAGGTTTTACTTCCTCATTTGGCGGGCCATGCTCTCATATTAACCATAGTTTGATAAACTTTCACTTCATTTTTCAAAAGGAAAAAAAAATAAAAGATGTTCCCAACACATCTCTGTTCTGAGTCACAGGCAAAAATTAGTCAGACTCACTCCAGCAGGGATGCAGAGCACTGGGCAGTGAGAACATTGCATATGAATTCCGGGTCAAGTGAAAAATTTTCCACCAGAGTTGCTGTACCAAGTTAGCACAGCCTCCTTCCCATGCATCTGGCAAATTCCTGACCTCCGGGGAAATGTAGAAAGAAATACTTTAAAAAACCCAACATTTTGCTTAGCACCTGATACTGCAAAGCCTCGTTCAAACATTTCCAAGCCTGAAGGAACCTGCTCTGGGACAATTCAATGAAATATCAAAATCCAAACAACCCCCTTTAGCCTGCTGGTGCCTCAGCTGAAAGTCTGCTTCAGAGATGCTCAGCCTGTCAGCGAAGTCTGACAGGCACTTCTTCATGGAAACCTGAGGTTTTCCTCTGCTTTTTCCTTACCTCACTGCAAAGAAATACACCCAAAATTCAATTTTAGGCAGCAAGAAGGGTTGGACACTCTAAGACGGGTCAACCTCTGGGACCTTTTGGATGCTTCAGACAGCTCTTGCATGTGCAGTGCCCTCTGCCCTGAGGGATGGCTGAGGTGCTGTGCTGTGCTGTGGAAGGAGAGAACCTCTGCCACTGTCAGGAGGCAACACACCAGAGCAGGGTTGACCTTTCCCAGTCAAAAATCCTCCACCTGCACACTTTGTGCGAGTAAGCAGGGTGGCCAAAGCCTTTGTAGTGGTATCCTGTTTAACCCAAAGAGAGTTTGCTGGTTGCTGCAAGCTTCACCCTCACTTTTTCCAGGTGATGGATACACTTTACATCACACCCAGACTCCTGGAAACTCTTTGGGAGCCAGGATGCCCTGCTGCTATGTAAAGCAGTGCCCAGGCAGTCACAGGAGAAAGGGACAGGACACGGCCTCCTCCACCCTACTTCTGGCACAACTCTTCCTCTGATCCACCAAGCTGGGCAGGTTAAGGCTACAGAAACAGGGAAGTGTTCCTAGAGCCACAGCTAAAGCCACATGTTAGCTCCCTGCTGCCCAGAACAGCTGTGAGAACAGAACAACCTTTGACTCCTCACTCCTTGGACTCAGAATCACAGAATGAACTAGGCTGGAAAAGACCTTTGAGATCATCAAGTCCAACCTAAACTCCAAACATCCCTGGAGAGGAGGGATCTTCTCTGCTCCATTTAAGCTTCCACAATTCCCCATGCCTCCTCACACGACCACCACGTAGCAGTGCCACTGGAAAGAAAATTATGCATTATTTATAACCCAGGCAGGCAGCAGTTTGGTTTAATCCCTACTTCTCAGTAAAATGAGGGTTTTACTACCCAAATAGGAACAAACTAGAGATTATAAAAAGAAAAGAGAAGCCAATTAGATTAAAGAAATCTCATTTCTATTGAAATGACCATGCCCATCTACTGTAAAAAACCATGAGCAAAAAAGACTTCAACATCATTCAAATTGTAGGCAGCCAGGAAGACTCTCAGCCAATTCCTGAAACCTGTTTACCCAGGTGATCACCAGCTACCAGAGAGCAGACCATGAGAAATAACTCAACTTTTCAGATGGCCTCACACCCTTTCACCCACCAGCACAGACACACGTTTGAGCACCAAAGGCTCTGGTTTTATAGACATTTCCTTTCTCTGCTGTGTTCCCTTGTGCTGACAAGCATGCTGAGTTTTCCCAGCACGGATTTATTGCGGCTCAAGGCTATTGTTATGTTCAAGAGGGAGAGCTGGAGAAGGAGAAGTTTTTGGAAGGGATCTCCCCACTAATGGATGTTTCAGTGCTGAGGACTGAGGATTTACTGGTTTGTGGAACAACCAGACCTTCACCAGACACAATCACGGCCAGTCTCAAAGTGGGGCAGCCTTGTTGCAGCAGCTCCTGGAGGCTACGGAGTTGACCAAGCACGACTTTGAGGAAGGCTCCCTGTGCAAAACCACTTTCCTGGTGGTGTTAAGACTCCTGCATGGAAAAACCACTCTCTTGAAACTGGTTCTGTGGAACACCTCAGGTGTTTTGGTCTACACACCTCAGTGAGGTATTTGCTTTGCTAAAGGAAACAGTCACTATTGCATCAGCACAAGAGAAATACATTATCACCCTCTTCCTCGTCTGAAAAGTTTACCTGCTGTGTACCAAACAAGCATGTGGCCACAGTAACACAGTGAAAATTCTTTAGCCCCTAACCAGCAGAACACAACACAGTCAGAATAAAGCAAGTGCTAAATCAAATGTAGGTCTATTGCCAGGAATATTTTTAATAATTTTTTTGTGGAACTAATATATTCTCCATCCTGCTTCAAGTGAGAGTATTTCCCTACTCCCTTCAGGAAGGTTCAGGTCAGACCCTCAAGCGAAGCTCTCTCTACAGTATAAGCTATGCTCCTGATTTTAATTACAGTTTTTTACTACTAGGTGAAATCTGGATGTTTTCTGCCAGTGAATTTCTTTCCCTGTTGGAGACACTGAAAATTCTGACTTGGAGACAGGTATTCACCCAAAAGCTACATCACTCACTTAGCAGGCCCTACTAGAGTACCAGCTCAGTTCCTGACAGGCAATCCTGTACTCACACTGGCAAAAAGCCACTATCTTTACAAGAGATATTTCTACATGCTTGCCAAAATGACCACCTTTCCTACTTCCCCAAAACTATGCCACTCTAGCAAGCACTCCGTCTGACCATAGAACAGAGAGAACAAAAAGCAGGAAAACCAATTCCAATAATGCAAACAATGGTAACTGTTTGGAAAATTGCAATCCCATCCATAATGTCTGATGTAGCAGGATCCCTACTTGGCTGGCCTAAAATATCTATTTTTCCTCTTTTTATATAACGAGATACTGCTATGACTCAAGTTGTTTTCCACTGGGTTCTTAAAATAAAAAAGTACCTTTTACAGAGTCAGAAAGTCCCAAAGAAGTTTCAAGTTCAAAACTTTACTGCCGTTCAGGTTAAGATTTCAGAAGGCTCTTGAAACTGCCTTTCAGCTTCAATGATTTATTGTAAGCTCGTAAGACCTACACCAACACACAGTTTGCTGGTGCCTTTTGACACAGCTGCCACATTTAACCAAGGTGATAGTGGCTTGCTCACTGAGAAAAAGCACATTCCATCAGTGGCCAGACCAAGCATTTTACACAAAAACACCACTCTGAAGCAGATATTTACATAAATCTGACAGTAATTTAACATTTTTCAAATTGCTTGCACCTCCTCTGTGTGCAACAGGTGACTGACAGAAAAGGAGAGACATTACCCATGCTCCAGGAAGATCACAAGCAAAACCTGTAATCCTGTTGCAAACAGCATACAAGTTTTACATGAAAAAAATCAGGCTACAGCAGGATGAGGTGGACAAAGACAACAGCAGCAACAGAATCAGAAATTGTTCTAAACTTTTTGGAAATTTTAAAATGCATGTCCAAAAAACTAATAGATGAGAGAAGTAGGGGAGAATTTGGTTTGGTTTGCTTGTGTGGTTGTTAGGGTTGGGTGTGGTTTTGACAAGTGGAAGGAAGCAGGCAGAGCTTTATGTGCAGAGAGTACAGGGGTACCAGGACCAGGTTTGGGTAACTCCCATCCTGCAATGCCAACCACTGGGATACAACATTTGTGCTACTTCCACTGACTTGTGTGATGTCCATGAGATCTCTGTTGCAACCTTCCCTCCTCCCACTTGCCTTTAGTGCTCTGCCACCAGTTCCTATTCATGACATGGTTTTGGCCAAGTCAACTCCAAGTCTTGGTCTCAAACTCAAGGGATCTACCAAGAACTAAGAAACTACAACATGTGACAGCAAAATAGTCACAAATTTACTCAAATCCGCAGAACAAAACAGTTTAATCTATATCACATTTTTAAGCTGTTGTAGGTAAAGGAATCCAATAGAAAACTCTGAGGAACTGGTTGTTAAGCCTTTAACCAGTGAACAAAGAGCTCTAAAGCATGAGGTGTTCCCCTTCAAACAAACATCAGCTAAGGCAAAGTGAAGAAGTTGATGCTTCTGCTACACTTTCAATGCTATTTTCAACATTACAGAAGAAGGTGGGTTTTTGGTTCTGTTTCTCAACTACCACAAGCACCGAAGGTCAATAGTGAAACTGAGGCTGGAGAAAGCATTGATGAAAATCAAATGACAGGGAAGTGACTTCTCATTAGATTAAAACAAGTCAACTCTTCAGCTCCCAGATAATAAAGTCCTGTCCACTCCAGCACCTCTGGCTGGACAGGCACAGCAGGAAATGTTTTTTGTGCTGTTCCCAGAAGAACCCCATGTACACAACCATAGTTTCCAACAAAGGAGGAATAAATCCCATCTAACCCAAGTGCTTTGCTGTCCATGTGCCAGGTGAACTGAGACCCCTCCTCCAGTGTCAGCAGACCAGCCTAGAAATGCAGCCCTAATATTAAGTACTTGCTCCCAAATTGGGAGCTTCTATACTTTTAATCTATACTTTTTAAATCACCTATTTTTTAAAATATATAATATTTTAAAATATATAATAATTTTAATATAATATTTAGTATCACCTTATTTTTTGAACAACCACCTTTGAAAGCTTCCTCCTAAAAAAATATAAACAGGTGAATTTACTAATCTGAAAATACTGTGCATTTTTAACAGCATCAAGGCATATTGAAAATCAGAAGCTTGAAACCTTGTGGATGAACTGATTTTTTAATCCTTAGTTCTGAAGACTTTTTGGCCAACAATGAAAATGAACTATTTACTTCCATATAATACTCATTTAAACTTTCAGTTCTTAAGCATTTACCTGCTGCAAAGAAAAGCCATTTCTGCTGCAGAAAAGTGAGCACATTCACCTGAAATAGGGTGTTTGTTTCTAAACATTGCTAAGTTCTGTATGTCCCACAGGTGGTTGAGGGCTAGCTGAAGCCTAGAATGGCTGCTGAAACTCTTTGTGATGTTAAGCCACAGCTCTCAAACAAGAGGACCTGTGATGTTCAACAAGAATCCAGCATTCCCTCCAGCTGGAAGCTTTAGCTTGTTCCTAGAACTGCCATTTCCTAAAGAAAGCAAGAACACAATTGCCTCACTAAGTCCACATCCCTGTCAAATCTGGCCAGTGCTTCTCCCAGGTTAAAAATGTTGTGTGGAGAAGGACAGCAGGACTGACAGCACAGTATGACAGCACAACAACGGTATGACACCACAATCAATCCTTGTTTCTTTAACAGAGCAGGCCAAGAGCAGGAGGAGCTTGAGACAACCTACTGCCTCCACAGTACTACTCCACAGGCACCATCACCTGTCCTGGTACAGTTCCTTGGAGTCTTGTTATGCCCAGACAGAAGGCAGAAATTGTCTTGACAGGAACAGTGAGCAGTCCTCAGCCCCAGATTCCCCAGGACACTTCCAGGGACAGGCTTCCCTTTTACCTCTCCTCTGGGACAGAGGGCTCTCACTCAGACTCTGCAAGGACAGCGCCGGCCTCTGGAGGGTCTCAGGCAGTTACAAATGTCGTGCCAGGAGACAGCTGTGGAAGCCCTGGATTTCTAGTTTTATGCTTTGAAGGACACAAAAGTAAGAGATTCATCAAAAGGCAGCTTCTTAGCCAAGTACACTTTCTGTATTTGGTCAAGCCCACTTTAAGTCTTGGACTCAAGCTCAAGACTACAAAGAACTAAAGGAACTATACTGTGTGACATCAAAATAGGTCTCAAACTTACTCAAATCCATAGAATAAAACAATTGAGTCTACATACATTTTTAAGCTGTTTCAAGTAAAGGAATCCAACAGAAATCTCTGAGGAGCTGGTTTCTAAGCCTTCAACTAAGGAACAAAGAGCCTCAAAGCACAAGGCATTCCCCTTCAAACAGGCCTCAGCTACGTCAAAGTGAAGAAGCTGATGCTTCTGCTACAGCATTTTCTATGTTATTTTCAACATTACAGGAAGGTGGGGTTTTTTGTTCTGTTTTCTAATTACCACAAGCACCAAGGATGTTGGACTCCAGCTTTGTTTTTACCAAACCAAAGATAGGGCAGATGCTGCTGGAAAGCACATTCCTGCATTAAATACCCTCAGTACCCCTGCTCAGCTTAGGTCTGGAGATTACAGCCATCCCCTCTGGCCTGCCTAGTCAGAATTTTCTGCCACGGGATAGTTTCAGCTGATTATGTTCCTTAACTATCAGCCTTCCCAGAGAATCAGTAAGAAGTTCTCTTTCTTCACAGTCCATTGAAATACCCTATCCAGGCACAGGCACTCCAGGGCAGAACAATTTGCAGTGATTCATCTTGAATTTTAGAATTAGCAGATCATGTTCCAATGACAGGTATCAAGCTGCAAAATCTTCCTGCATATTGCAGTCAGACACTACAGTAAATAGTACAGAAAAAACACAAAAGAAAAAAGTTAAATTTATTATTTTAGTTCCCCTCTGTATTTTCCTTGTCCTTCATCTGTACTTGGACCTCTCTTTGTCTTTTGATTTCTTAGGACTTCTACTTCTGTCTGCTTTTTTATCCCAGTCTCTCGCTCGGCTGTCTTCTCTGTATTTGTCTTTGTGCCTGCTGTAATCTCTGTCCTGAGAGCGGCTGCGGCTCCGGCGCCTGTCCCTCTTCTCACCCTTGGTCCTCTCCCTGCAGCGCTCTTCGTGCTTCCTCTCAGAGTCCTGCCAAGGGAATTGGACACAAATGCAGTTACAAACAAGAGGGGAAACACACAGAGGCACAAAGTGAACTAGAGAAAAGTTGAGCATGGCAGGTTCCTGAGTTAGAGCTGGTAGTACCTTAAAGAGATTCACATTCACGATGATTTTGAAGAGGGAAACACAAAAAAAACCCCCTGAAACCATCTGAAGAAGGTAAGTTTACAATTCAGTTTCTGTCAATGTTTATGGAAAAAAGCATGGCTGTCAGGCATGCTGCTTGTACTGCCTAAGGAGCTTCAGCAAAACTGGTTATATCAGGGATTCCATTCAGATGGATATTACCAAACTCTTCACAAGCATCAAACATGTCTGTAAGCTAGATTTGGATTTCTGATTTTTTTACCTAAGCAATGCAAATATTTCCATTAAATTTTGGTTCAAGTCCCACAGGCATTCCAGTGCTCTGCAGATGCATAATATATTTTAAGATCTACCTGTAATAATTCTTAATGGCCTAAATTCTAGGCTTCAGCAAAATGAACAAGCTGACAGTTTAATATCACTGTATGTGCTAAGAGAGATACAATTTTATGGGGTTTTAATAATAATAACAATACTGATAAGCACAGATCAATATGAGTTAAGAACATCTGCATTAAATCACACAGCATTTCTTTCCTCATTTCAGATATTATTTTTCTAAGGATGTACCATGACAGCAGCCTTCACAACTGTATGGTTAAAACCTCCACTCCATGTACCAACAAGAAAACTTCATTTATTTAAAAGAACAGGGAAAAAACTCTACTTTAATCAGAGATTTTATGCAGAAAGCCAGTGAGTGGGGTGGTTCCCAGAGCAAACACCACCTTTAGAATGACACTGATAATGCTGAAAGTATTAGGGTTACAATAAGCAACACAACCCCTCTGGATAAACAGACACACGAATAATCACAGGTTTGATCTGTAACAAAAACATTCTGCTGCTGCTGGGTACAGTAATCTCACTGGTGGCTAAATGCCTATTCCACATCTTTACTGTGATTTATTTCAGTACAGATTTTAAAATCTGGATCCACCAAAGTGTCTCAGTGATGCTTCCAGCTACTTGTAAGAGCTTTGTCTATCCACTCTCACAATGATGCACAGCCATACTCTTGCACCCAAAAGCCTCACTCTCCACATGTTTGAAAAAGCCAAGAGGCTTCAAGGCCCTCTGTGACAAGGCCTGGGTAAACATCAGACAATGGACATGCCAGTGGAGGGGTAGACAGGAACAAGACAAAAAATATTGGCCAGAAAACCAAATGGTGGCCTTGGTGTACAGCTGCCTTCTGACTGGATTGTTGCTGGAGTTTCCTCCCAGCACATGGGAGAGGCAGGAGAAAAGCAGGGCAGACTCAGCTGGACAATCTACCAAGCAAATCCTGGAGACAAGGCTACTGGCCAAGTGGGGGCAAGAATGGGTGAGTGAACATTTCAAACTACAGACAAATGGCCCTTGTTGGATGCCACAGAAAAGGACAACTTGCTGAAAGGATCAGAAGTCATACAAGCATTGAGTTAAATGCCAACAGTGACCTTCACAAAAGCATTAAGGTACAGGTCTTCAGGGCAAGTATGAAAGTGACACAACAAGGTCACCACAGTACCTAATATGATCACAATGTAATGGAAAAAAAGTGAAACTTGAATTACTAGAATGAATGGCATCTTTATTTCTTGATACATTTCTCCTTTTATAAGATTTTTCATTTTAAAGTCTTTGGTGTGGAAAAAGGTCAATTTTTAAAACACACTAAATTACTAAAAATAAAATTACTAAAACTACTAAAACTAAAATTACTAAAACTAAATTACTAAAAATAATGCTATTTTGAAACCAAATTTTTATGCCCAAAAGTCAAAAACACGCTCTCTTGGAAGAGGAAGAAAAAGATTCATACTTAAAAGCAGGCTCCCTCTTATTGCTGAAATTTGTGTTTCTCAATGCAGGATCACAGCCTCTCATCAGTCACTGAGTAAGTGATGATCACCCCAATTCTTAATCCAGCACTGTGCTGGAGCACACACAAGGAAGGAAATAAGGAAAGAGGGAAAGATGCTTCTCTGGAAGTTCATGGCTGATTTTGCCAAAAGTAATATCTGACTAAACAGCAGTCCCAGGTGAAAAAGCAAGAAATATCCTGGCCATAGAAGTAAAATGCATATGCCACCTCTTACATACATTAAACACAGTAGTTAAAGGTTAAAGGAGCAAACAAATAGAGAGAGCCTTTTTTGGAGGGAGATTTTGATAAAACCTGACCCTGAATATGAAGGGAACAGTGTCCAATAAGCAGTAAAAGCAGGAAATCAAAAAAATCAGTACCTCTGCCAAAACCATGCACTACAGCAATCTGAAATTGGGAAGTCCCTATGTCTTGCAAAAATCTATTGGATAGGCCATACTACCTCACAGATCCAGCTCTCTTAAAAAATAAAATCCAGGAAAAACCAAAAAACTGGAAGGCAAACAAAGTAATAATACAGATCTCAGGCAGAAGAATGTCCTGTGTTCAAAAATACTCTACCAAATCCTATCCACAAACCCACATGGCAGCCCACCCTCCTGCCCCAGACCCACATCCTGTTACTTACTAAAAGCAAGCCACAGCACCCGACCTCCTCTACCCACTGTGATGAAGTCAAACAGCACAAGACTCAAAAATATGTTCTTGAAACATCAACACACAGGCTGAAGATTCAGGAAATGGGTGTCAGATGAAGAAAAGGATGAGTCAAAATATACTAAAGAAAAAAAGTAACACCAGCAAGAGAACAGAAAAACAACTCAACATCATGGAAACTATTGAGAAAATAAAACCCCTTCAAGTCATAGCTAGAGCTGATAACACAAACTGCAGCTCCAGTTGCCAGAACTTCCCATTATAAGCCCCATATCTCTCTTAATTAAAATCTCTGCCACACTGTGGACTCATGGTGGAAGTTTCTGTATGAAGCATGGCTACTGTGGTCTTTGGCTGATGAGTTGTGGAAGGTCTGCTTCTATTTTCTTTTAAAGTTCTTACCTCAAATACATTCAGTGATTTACAAAATAGGGTAAAGGAAGAATGCTTTGTTTGCCTATATTAAAAATACTACCATTCATTAAAAAGTTTCCATGATGTTATGCTTTGTGTTGGACTCAATATTCCCCCTGAATATATTCCACCTCAGGAACATGCCTGCCTCCCCTTACTTTCACATATTATGCCCAAAGTATGAATAGTAAAAAACAAAACAAAATTAAAATTTGTATATGCTAAGCAGGATTTGTCACCTAAGCTAGCTGCAGATTTCACTAGAGAGGCCATGCCCAAAATACTGAGTCTGTGTGAGACTAAGTAAACACTGCCAGTATGTGCCTACTGTACAGTACACACTGACAAGGATATTCAAATCCAGAGAGAAAAATTCTTCCCAGAAATTAATTTTCACAGCTCCAAGAGGGAACTATGATGCTTGCCATCAGAGAATAGAAGTGAGCCTCCATCTGTGATTTCGGGCATAAGAAACCTGAACTACCTACAGCAAAATGGGTAAAGGTGACTAAGAGAGAAGAAAGCTGTGGGAAAGAAGATACCAGAACCCAGCAGCAGCAGATTACAAGAACAAACCACATCAGGAACAGGTGACTAAATCACAAAAAGATACACATAAACACAGAGGAGATCACACAGACAAGCATTAGAATACGTTCTATCCCAGAACTTGAAAATAGCACCAAAAATCCCTCTGTTCTCATTCATGTTTCTGTGCTATGAAGTCTCACAATCCATTTATAACAATTAGAACAATTAGATGTTAAAAACCTACTGCTGCCAGCAGTTGTGCCACCTGCAGGGGTAGAGGCTTCTAAATGATTTTAAAATGTTCTCTGCTGATAATGCATGACTGGCCAGCTCCATGGGCGTAACTCCTGAACCATCAGGAACAAAGACTGCCACCAAAAATACCTGTTTCAAGAAGTCTAAAGCAACAGTTTCCATCAGCCAAACAGACAGGAGAAATTCTAAACCAACATTAGTCCACACCTCCTGTATGCACACACTGCAGCCAGGACTTGACCCACCGGAACAAGCCTCTCCCCTCCACTCAAAGGAACCTGACTGAATTAGTGCAGTGACAAAACAATACTGGGTCCATGAATGAGCAATAGGGCTCACTGCTGGCACTGAAAGATTTTAATTGCTGATGTTCATGAGAAAAATAATTTCCAAGCATTTCAGCAAGAAGTGATGTATAAGAACAGAATCATGTATGCCTTGTGTACCCAAAACTTTCAGCAGTGCTCAAAACTCAGGATGGGACAACAGCCTTATTTGCTGCAGCTGAAACTTTTTCACTTTCTGCAAAGTTGCTAGAGACAGCTTTGTTCTCACTCATAAAGCTTGCACTGTTAAAATACTGGGGGGTTTGGTTTTTTCTTTTCCAGTTTAGCTCAATTCTTCCTAATGCTCACTTCAGTGGTGGTTAACACTCCACTTTCTCACTGCAGAATTTCTTTCCACAAAACACCTTATCTTCAGTATCCCAAGCTCTCAGAAATGTGGGAATGCTGTCCTGACAGGCTGCAGTGGAGCTAATGAATGACAGAATTGCTGTCTCCTGGTGCTGTCCTCCATAGCCCCACAGCCTGCACATTCCAGATGCAAGCAAACCCACATGCAGATTTTTACACAAACACTTCCAAAACACTTAGAGACAAATACAAAAAGATAATGTAAAGAGATTGTGCTCCCAACTCCACATAGGAAAAATCCAACATATTATGGTCTGGCAAGAAAATGAGACATAGTCTACAGTTGTGAAATAGGATTAACTGCTACTTTATGACTAGGAACAACAGGTTCAAAGTGCTGAAGATCCCCTACTTTATGAGAGGCTACATTGCCTCTTCAGGATGCTTTGGCAAAAAACCATCTAGACCTGCCAAGCTACAGAAGTTCATGAGGAAACCCTCTTTCATAATCAAATATTAACATCAGCCTTCTGCAGGTTTACAGCTGCTGCATGTTACACAGGACTTTGCACACTGTGTCCTTATCCAATATCACACTTTCTTCCTGGCTTCTTTTATGAGGAAAACGATGAACAGGTATAAAGTTAATGCATGAAGAGTCAAGTACCTTAGATTTTTTTGTCCTCTTGTCATCATCTTCATCTTCAGAGTGGTGGTGCTTTTTCTTTTTCTGTTTTTTAGCCAAGTGTGACTGACTTGTGTGAGACTCTTCCACATCCTCATCCAGCACAAGGTCATACTTGGCACTGGTGGCGCAGGTTAAGGACAGTTCTGTTTCCCAATATCAGTAAGGAGCAGAACACAACAGCCCAGGAAGCAAACCAATCCCTGTTTATCTAACAAGCATTTACCAAGACTTAACACGTATTTCAGGCAGAACACAGTTGTACACACTGAAAAAAAAATCAGCTGTGCTAAAATCACTGAAGTCTGTCCTGTTAAACAATACAGCCAGGCTGCATTCTCCTTTCTTATCTACCTGGGGATATCTAGAACAACCTATGGTGTTTTCTCTCTTGCTTATCACAAGCAAAGTATAATCTTAGAGAATGATTTAATATTAATACTAGAATGGCCTCATTTCGGAGGCAGAAGGTCCTCTCTGAAATTACTTGGGAACTCTGTTATGCCATATGCCATTCCAGGGCTGTGGACTAGGAATATTATTTACCTGCACACAACATGGAAGTGAAACAGCACATTTTGATTTGACTAAATTCATCAAAGTGAAAACCACAAAATATTAAATGCCATCTCAAACACCAAATGGTAATATGAGCTAGAAGGCAAACACCCATTGGGCAGTCTTTAAAAATAAGAAGGCTTTTCCCAGGCTGTTTTCATAAATTCTACTTAATTAAAAAAGTACCTTTGAAAAGAAAAGGATACTCTTGCTTTGGTTTAACCTTTTCTTTCAGGGCAAATTTTGAAGGTTTGTCACGGTCCTTCTCATAGTCCTTGAAATCTTCTTTGGTATACCGCCCACCTGTCCACAAAAAAATATGTTCATTTCACTCTAACCACAGACACAACCAACACCCACAACTATCATTGAATTCTGATGATGATTTAGGGGCTCTTTATAACCACAGAGAGCTCCAGAGCAGGATACAGTTCCAGAAACACTGACATCAGCATAACAGAGTAGTAAAGAGCAGGACAAGTTGGGATGTTCTGTCCTTCTCTTGCTTGCAGACTCCATTAAACAACACCCAGCTTTCTGCTCATTCGTGTCCAGTGGAGACAACACATAAAGAGGATCACAAAGCAGGATTCAGCAACTGGCTCAGTCTCACTTCTATTACAGGTCCTATATCACACTACTTAAAATTGTGTTACCCTGAAAGCCCACAGACTGTTTTCATTATTAAATGATTTTTTGCTCTGGTCTGCACGGAGGGAAACCTCTGAGGCAGCTACAGCTCAAGAATTCAAGCGGAAGACTATGACTAAAACGGTTCACGTCCAGATTTAAAGAGGAACACGATGGATTTCGGCTTCCATTTACGGAAGCGCCAACGCGCGGATCAACGAACCACGGCAGCGTGCTGCCCTCTCGCGGCCACGCTCAGAACTGCAACACTCGCTGGCCAGACCAGAAACCGGCGCCCAGGGTGGAAGGGCATTTTTGGGGTAACACGTAAGCACGAGATGACAATACAGTTAGCTTTCCAATATTTTGGACTATTTAGACCCCAGGTAAAGTTTCCCACGCAGGGAGTCAATACAGGATGCACTACAGCACCTGGTATAGACAGAATAGAGTTAGCTCTGTGCAGGACAGGTTCCAGTATCTCTGTGCCCAGGGCCACAACCCTCCCTGGAGACACCACGCGCCAACAGCTGAGGGCTGACTGCATTTTCACAAGACCACACACAAGAATGTCACCAATGCAATGCACAGACATCTCTCCAAGTCCAGTGCCCCCAGTATTCAAATAACCACTGCATCCACCTCTTCCACCACCCTTTTCCTCACAAAACATCCTCAAACACCTGAAACTGGGTTTTTGTAACATACAATCTGTCATGCAGTACATTTGACCTACAGGGGGTGAAGAGCAGAAATCCCTGGCCTCAATACTGACTTCTTCTTGTATGCACCTGACTGTCATACAGTGAATAAAGAAACTAGAAAATAACAATGTATTGGCATATTATTTTGCTAGTAAGTAATATATATCAAAAAAATCATGTCCAAAATTTGAGACGAGAAAAATGTTTAGTGGCAAAATGACATTGGCCAAAAAGGTAATCAGTGCAATGCAATGTTCATGTAACAGTAGGAAGCCCTTCTACTTTTTCTAATGAAACAAATGAAGGGAAGAACTAACAACTGTGTTGGCTCTATTTATTACAGGACCAGGAACATTTATATGCCTGAAGATGAGATGATTTAAACTCCTAACTCTTTATATAATGCTTAGTTTAAAAGTCATGGCTTGTTAAGTTATGAGGATCAAAGAATTGCAAATATACCTACCTTTTCCCTTCCATTTAATCTTTGCAACAGACTGGCTAAAATCCACATGTATCCGTCTGTCATCAATCAGCACATTGTCCATTTTGAAGTAGGCTTTCTCACAGTCTTCCTCCTGATATAAACCAGGAAAATCTTGAGTCATGATTATTTCATAGGAATATTCACACAAAAGCTCAAACAGAAATTCAACTGCTTAGTGGCATACATTTCTTTCTGAAATTGCCTAAAGTACCATAGTTCTTGAATTGTAACCATTTCAAAAGAAATAGTTATGCTTTCTCTGACTATCAGCATTTCAATCCCAATTCTTCAGCTCATTTCAGTATTTAAAAAATTGCCCATCCAGCTACATATTTGGCACATGTAACACACTCGGGGAAAAAGAAAGGAAAACAGAACAACTGAGAGAAGTTCCATTTGAACTACATAAATAGTTTAAAGGAAAGTGAGGCCATTTTCCAGTGTTGTCCTCACAGATGAGAGACAGCAGGACACACAAAGCTACCCACCACCAAGAGAACTATTGCCATCCATCTCACAGTAAGGGCAGTGTGTTGATACAGTGGGCATCATTTACAAGCCCAGAAGAGAAAACCACGGAAAACCTGGATCCATCTTATTCCATACACCCTCCTTTTTTTATGCTGCATGCTCCTAGCATTCCTTTCTTCAACTCTTCCAAGACTTAATGCACTCTGGGGGAAAAAAGGGCCAGATCCCCTCCCACTGGTTTCAAGACAGTCTAAGTACATTTTTGTACTGGCTGCTCAAACAGGGACAGACTTGCATATTGACTCATGTAGGACCCACAACTTCTATAACCAAGTTATAGTTTCTCTCAGTAAGAGAAAATACTAGCTATTCCACACTTGAAGATGTCAGTGTTTTTCCTAGATAGAAGTATACCAAAAAGGGGCTTTTACAAGCAGGATCTACATACAGTTTGTACCTAAAACCCATACCTTTTCAAACTCAATGAATGCATAACAAAGAGATTCACCAGTCTTCCAGTCTCGGATCACTTCACAACTGAAAAAATGATAGGAAATTAAAATGTCAACACTGTTGGAGCAAAAAATGTAGGGTAGGAAAGCACTGCTAACAAGGACAAATAAGTTAAAAAAATAACCCAAAAAACCCCAACCCACAAAACCTAAACACCTTGAAGGTATTAAAACACTTGATTCTGAGATCCCCTATTGCAAGAAAAAAATGCATGATTGCATTTTTGCTTTTTCAAAGCAAAAAACATTGCTTTGAGCAACTACACTGAACTCACAGGCGGTTACCATGAAGCACAAAACTATAGATGAATTTCTAATCAATGAAACAAAATACACTTTCCAACATTACTGTTTGTTTTTTATTTTTTGCATTTCACTAATGCAAGACCAGAAATCCCACATTCTGTTTTCTCTGTCATTTTAAGCAAAAGTTTAAACAAACATCCTGTGACAAACTTTCTCTTCTTAGCAAGCACCTCTTCAGCAGCCCAACTTTTTATCATGCAGGTCACTGGGCAAAAATAAGAAGCCTGAAAGTACTGAGTAAGTAGTGCAAATGGGAAGAATATAGTATTGCATCAGTATTGCACAACTCTTGTACTGGATGTAAGAATTCTGACTACAGGATGCTGGAGGAGGGCACGCAGGCAACAAGGGCAGGATATGTGTCATTAAGGTGAGAAAAATGTGAGACATGTAGAAAGGAAGTGACAAATCAGGATCCGGAATCAAAAGATGATCAAGGCTGAAAGAAAAAAAATCTGAGAGGGAAAAGAAAAAAAAGTAGACCATAAGACTGTTGAGACAAGCTACGGGAATTCCTAGCAGCAGAGGGCAGAATGATTTTGTGCAAGAACCCTCCTTCATGGATTATTCAGAGAACCTATCTGAAAGTAGAAGGACTGCAGAAGAGTGACAACTCTAACAGAGATACAAAAAATTAGAAATCCTTACAGCATAGAGAAATCACACTGGAGTAGTGTGAGTAGCATACAATGCAAATTTCCCTCACACACACAGACAGTGTAGTTTGGGATCTGGAAGCCTGCAGACCTGTGTGCCAGTACTGCTCAAACTGCTAGAAACTCTAGGCAGAACAAAGTTAGCATCCATCTGAATACACACGGCCTATGCCAGACCACCTGAATAAACTTAAGTGAAATGCTCTAACAGAGTCAATGTTCATGTGTGGTGATGATGATCCATTCCATGAAGTCTTTTGAAATCCCTCTGCAAATTCTAATAAACTCCTGCACCAAAAGCTTTTGGGGAAAGTAAGCAGAAAGGGTATAAGGAACATCTCTGCATCGATAAACATGCACCAAGATAAGCATGGGTTGAACCGTAACTGTATATTATAAAAAAACCCAAAAAACCCCAATGAAAAAAACAACTTTAGCATTCACTAGAAAAGGAGTTAAGAGTAAAACAGAGAACAAAACTGTTCCACTACACATCTGTAATTTCCTCAAAACTGTGTGCAGTTCGGGTTCTGTCATCTTGAGATGAAAACAAAAGAACAGGAAAAGGACAAGAAAAGCGACACAAGGTAATTAAGTCTGTACTATGAAGAAGCATGAATATGTAGCTAAGTGCTCTTGGCAAGGAAAAAAAAAAACTTTGGGGTGTAGGATAGAGGAGTGTAGGAAAGCAGATTTCACTGCCCATCCGGTCTTTTGGTAGCAGTACTAGGAGCAATCAGCTGAAACTACCAGAAGCCAAGGTCAAAACTGAGAAGGGCAGCAGGAACGAGGAACACCTTACAAGAAGTGCATCAGACACCACAGGTGTTTGGTGCTTTATCCCAAACCACACATACTCCCACAGGAAAGAAAATCCCAGAGACTCTATCCAGCTCATTGAGCATCTGACATAAAAACTGCTGAAGGGAGTGAGAGGATGGGGGCAAAGAGAAGTGTTACACACCCTCTTGGTTCCTACACTTCCTTAGGCTTCCCTTAAAATCACTCCTGGGGACAGGATATTTATCTAGCTAGATCTGCCTTTGTATCCCCATTGTTGTGCTCTCTGTCCAAACAGAGCATAAATCTCCTGAGATACCACACTACTCCTTTACAGCCAAACCTAAACAGACTGGGAGGAATCAAGTTCAATTTCAACAAAGAAGGTTTTCTCTTTTATAATTACCTTTTAATGGGTCCAAATCGTGAAAATATTATCTCCAGATCTTCACCTGTGGTCACAGGATTCAGTTTACAAACAAAAAGCACATTTTCTGGCGGCTTGATGTCTGCATCTGGCAAGTCTCCCACCTGGGATACAGAAAGAAGACATTCATCACTTTGGCCTAAAGTTCTCAGTAGGTAGTACAGCACACTGGGAACACATTTTTTGTGTGATCTCACATTCCTATCACAAAATCAAAACTTTATTAAATATTTTTGCTACTCAGTGTCACACAAAAAAAGTGTTTTCTATAGCACCTAAAATTTATTCTTTATTTGCAATTCAACTGCTGGAATTCATGAAAGTTCCAAATACGTTCTACTTTGCTTTTTATGGTCTTAGGATAAAAACCAGACAGTTCCAAAAGGTGAAAGTGCACCCTTTTTGTCCCTACAAATCTTCTGCAACACTGTGGCCACATCTGGCTTGATCTTGGAATTGATCTTGATCTTGGTCTTGGAAGTCTCTGCTGCAAACTGTTCACCATAAATTTGAATTTGGTAGTTGTAAGGAAGTGAGATGGATCCACTAATCTTTCAAGGGTGTATATTTTAGTTATTTTTTTTCTTTAAAAAAAAATGGACTTCAAAGCCTGTTTACAATTTTTGTTACTATGGAGTTTATCACTGAGAAGAGTTCCTTACAAGTTAGCTCAGCTCTCTGCCACACATGCTGAAACTTTTCCAGGACTGCAGGTATTCCAGCAGCATACTATATCTGTTACATTTTTTTAATTGGATGAATTTCTAGCAAGTTTTTAGAAAGCCTCCACTGGCCCACTCTGACAATGAACTACCACTGGTTTTATCAGAAAACCACAACATGAGTGCTCATGCTCAATCCTTTCATTGTAAAAGAGATATTTAATAGCAGATTCTGAAACACGACATCATCACCAGATAGGTAATTTCAAGATAAATAGCACATACCCTTCTAGACTTAATAGCATGCACATACACAGAGGAATAAGATCTAAAAGGTAAATACAGAAAGATGTTCACCATTTCCAAAAGAATTGCACGAGTTTTTGCTTCTTTTTCTGCCTGAAATTCTTCTATTTCATCTGCAGTCCGTCCTTTCATGTCATCAATTTCTTCATCTGCTCCTATTCTGCCACTCTGAAAAATGAAGGAAAAGGATATTTATTACCAAACCATGGCCAAAAACTCTTTCTCATTTTCCAACTATTACTTGGACAGCCTCTTTCCTCATCCCTCAAGACACAAAACATGCTTAAGCACTGTATGTCTGCAGAACTGGGCTTTCATTCTGTCCTTCCCACTTAGACTAGAACAAAAGAAAAAAAGGATAAGATGTTATCCTCATATTTCAGGCACTGTGAATTATTTCTGAAGTTCTGTGACTAGTCTAAACCATATTCAGTGAGGTATTCTAAATTCTTTTCTATATACCCACCCACACAACAGCTCACCACAAGTGTCAACTCATCCAGGTAACTCCTGCCACAAATGAAGGTAAGGAACATTGCAAATATTTGCTGTGTCTAGCAAGACATTAAATAGAGCATAGCACAATAATAATTTTGTTTTTATACATCTATACCTAGGCAGGACTTGAGGTTTATTTTTTTTATCCTCACCAGCATTTCTAGAATGCTGCCTTTCTCACAGACATTTCTATGCTAAAAGAGGAGGATATGCCTATGCTCAGACAGGCTAAAAAACTCAGTACAAGTCTTCACATCTCTATGCTGCTGGCAGTGAGCTACTAAATACCTTATTCTTAACATAGCTGAAGGCACATCAGAGATCAACCACTGTGCACACATACTATGAAACCCCAATTTCAATCTTATAATTGTATTATTAAGGTTAAAAATAAACAATATTTTCTCTAGCTAATTAATTCTTTACTAGAAACAACTGTTTCCATACAAGGGAATAATCTCACAAGCAATTTCTCTAGCTGCATACTATGAGTAAATTATTAATAACTGTAATTATTTTTATAAAATTCCTTCTGTTTGAACAAATAGCCCAGAGTAGTGTGTGTGCCTGCACATATAACTCAAGAATGACCAAGATTACTTCAACTGAAACACAACCTATTCACATTTAAAAGGTAAACAACAGAAACCATTTCAATATTAATAAATGTTAGTTATATTTTGTCTTCTACCAGAGTATACAGAAAACCAGTAATACTAGCGTTGAATATTCTGAATGTTCTGCTTATCTACACTGTAAATAGAAACCTAAAACACAGCTTTCAAACACAACTCACTGGAGCCCCAGGGGAGAGCATCCAAGTCATGCTTTTATCCTTCTCTTGAAAGGTTAAGGAGCTGTATTTGATTCAACACAGCAGTAGCCCCAAATAACTGACAAGCATTTGACATATCAGAACTCAAGCTGGCACAGTAGAACACCTCCTGCATGAAAAAATGTCTAGCTCTGTTAGGATATAGATTTGAGACACAAAATCTTGAAGACTGATTTCTTATTTTGGCCAAATCTGTGCTGGACACTAATTGAGACAAACTTTTAAAATAGTTTTTTCCAACTTTTCCTGTTGCGAACACTCACATCGAGCTGCTCCTTTGTAGGTTCTGGTGAGCGATCAGGAACACACAGCCCAGGTGGGTCATCAAAGGGATCATCTAAAATTACTGTATGATTTATCCTTAGAGAAAACAAAGTCAAGATCAGCATTGGTTACATGCAAGTAAAACTTGGTTTACCCAACTAACACCAGACCAGCCCCACTAAATCTCAGTTGCATCCCAAATATCCCGTGTGCTTGTAAATTCTAGCACTGATGCTTTTGGAAGGGCAACATGGCTAAATATTTTTGTACATACTTGTTTATTTAGTATTTGTTGATTTTGCCATTAATACTGGGGAAATAAAAAGCATTTAAGATAGCACATACAGGTCACCTGACATCATGATATTCATCTAGTTTCCAAAAGAAGTAAATTCATTCAATAGTAATGTATTCCTCAAAAAGTAAAGTTAAAAGCAGTCACACCTGATATCTTGATATGGGATAAAATCCTTATCTACAAAGGTTTCATTAATTGTCTTCAACACATCCATGCCTTCTGTCACTTCTCCAAATACTGTATGCACACCATCAAGGTAATCCAGGTTTTCCCCTGTGGTAATGAGGAACTACAAAAGAAGATAGAAAACTAGAAACAGTAAATAGAAAAATTCAGGTTGTACTTTTTTTAAAAAATCTTAACACACTCTCACTGAATTCAGTGGGAAAAAAAAAAAATCTTCCCATTTTTTGTAGAAGATTGCTCTGGGAATATGGTGAGCCAACATACAGCTCACAGCCAGTGCCTGAGGCAATCTCCCTGTGCAGGAGCCTGTGGGTGAAGCACAGGATCCTTCTGTGAATTGGTAATCGGGCACAAGGGATTGGAGGAGCAGAGAGATCTCTGCTGGGCAGGGCAGCTGAGCCAGACCAGCAAAAGCTGTCACTGGCATCACAGCTGATGAAAGGGAGAGGACAGAAAGAGCAAGGCTACCCCTTGTGAGCTGAGCTCAAATCACCTGCTCTCCAAGCAGCATTTGGCAGGTACTTTTTCATAAATTTGGCAGAAACTCCCTCTACTATCTTTACCTAACTCCCATAGTACTACTTTTACCTACTATCTTTACCTATTCTATCCACACTTTTTTCCTTTCTTCCCACAAACCCCTCTCCTGAAAAGCAGGATGCAGCAGCATTGAGAGAATAACTAGCACACACTGACTTAGATCAACTTGAACTGGTACCGGAAAGTATCTTATGACAAATCAGATCTTTCACCTTAAGGCAAAACTGAAACTATGAACACTGATACCAGCTGAGAATTCAGTGACAAATTATAGAGGGCACTTGGCAATGGAAGAGGGAGGAAGAGGCAGACATGCACAAATAACAGGACACAACTGCTGCACCCACACTTCACAGTCTGACTGGTAACATCCCACTCCTCATTCCCTCTACCACACAGTTAAGATTGGTTAGTAGTTGGTAAAGGTTACACTAAACTACACTATACTTGTAAGGCAACTCCATGTAGTTCCTTTCTGGAATTTTTCTTTCCCAAGGAAGAAGCTGCAATAACATTCCTGGGATCAGCATTCATTCCCACATGCCTGCATATGCACTAGCAGGCTGTATCTTAAATACAAATACTATTGTAATCTCTTTTTCTTAAATACCCCAACCATGCCATTTTATACATACAATGCAGGGAAGTACCATAATTACCTGTGTATTTTACAAGGTCTAGCTCGAATAAAACCCTACCTTTTTTTTAAATTGTTCTTTGATTATTGAAAATCCCTCCTTTTAAAAATTAAAATATATGGATATTAAAGTGAGGCATTTTAATTCCTAGAAGTGACAATGCACATAAAATAATAATAATTCAGAAATAATAGTGTTCTATGAGCTTTAAAAACAAAATAAAAACCTTAAAAAATAAGTAACAATAATTACCTACAACAAAATCTTTGTGCACATGAACAGCAAACAGAACAAGACCATTTTCAAAAACTGTTTTTATACCAGCACTGGGGTAAAACTGTAAACTTACATTATTAATGCACTTCCAAGTAACCATACAGGAGAAACTGATATGGTTTCACTTTCCAAACTAACGCAGTCATAACCAGAAAATGTCAACATTATTTCAAAAATCAGTTTCCTTAATTTTCACTTCCATTTAACTACAGAAATTTTTTTTCCTGACCATTTCGTATACATTAGCAAAATCACATCAGAGTATTAACATAGTGCTGACCTGTGATCCATGCTGATCACTGCCATTGTTCACCATGGACACAGTTCCCTTCTTCTTGTGCTTGATTCTCGGCACCTTTTCTGCCTCAAAAAATCTGGCTTGATCACCATACAGTTGACTAAAAAAACATTTATAAAAAACACATTACCAAAAAAAGGAATTTTTGAAAGTGAGCTAATCAAACATTTTAAAACTGTAAACAACATCTCAAAAATTTTTTACATTTCATATTTACATTAGGCCTTCAAATAAACCTGTTCATAAATTTTATGAACATATTTATGCACCTGTACACTTCCAAAGTTTATATTACAAGGAACAACAAATTTTTCTCTGGACATTTCCAGAGAAAGGCTTTCTGGGGGGTTGGAAGGGTATACTTATATATTTTTAAGTACAGTGTGCAGCATTTTTCTGAGGCATGAAGGAACTATACATTTTAAGTAGGTTCTGCAAAAATAAGTAATTCCACACTGTAAAAATGCAGTTATTTACATAAAAATTTTATCTCCCAAGAAAAACAGAGAAGTGGTATATCTATGTGCAAAATCAGTTCATCATACAGACAGGACTGAATACAGTAATTTGGGGTATACTGGATATAGCAAATTGTTGCATTCTTTTTAATTTTTATGTCTAACCCTGCTATCACTTATTTTGTCTCCCTCCATAAACTGACAGCTGCATGACCAATAACCATATTTGCCCAAATGTAAGGACAGTGCTGTGTTTAAACTCATCCTGCTAAGCACGTGCTAGCCTCTATGAAGAGAGGATTCAAATTAAACTTTGCCTGCAAGAACACAAATTGCAGTTCCATGGACTGCAGCAGAAACAAACAGGTACAAAAGACGACTTGACCTTCTCCATGCTATTGCCAGACAGGATCTGACACTCTCATCACACTGTACTTCCCAATTTGCCACACCGGTAAGTCTTAGGAGACTTGTATCATATCAAAATAAACTTAATTTACTTGTGTGCAGAGACAGGCAAGCCTGGGGAGTTTATCTGCCTAGACTTAATCTGCTTAGCACAGGTACGCTGCTTCCAGGACCACTGGAGTGGTGATTCATGGATCCATGGGCTCCACGTTTTGTATTTAAGAGGCTCTGACAGACTGACTTACAAAAGCCAGCACTAGTCTAGAAACACTGTCTCTGTTCCAGCTGAACACTTTTATTGCTGTAAATTGTGTTCCCCAGCAATTCCCTGATAATTAGTTCTGCTCTGTAACTTTAATTCTACTTTTAATAACTATTTCAAATGAATCATACAGAACACATGCACTTTAACTCCATCCTAGCTGTTCGAATGATTTCAACTCGTCTCCCTGACCACTGAAAACTTCTTGAACAAATAAGAAAAATTATTTCCTTATAAACATTCAACATGACTAAAACTCAAATAAGTAAGGGGATCACTTTTTTATATACAGAGGAAATCAAGTATTGCCTCTATGCTCCACTCATGCTCAATTTAGTATATTTTGTTATAATAATAAATGTATTCACCATGCTAATTGGTTCTGTCTTCTACAAAGCATTTAGTCATGATACTTTTTTTACCAAACATAGTTATTTGCCAGCTTTTAAACTAACAGAAATGTATGTACAAGTTGTTACCTGTAACTTCATTTTTAAGGTCAGAGACAGAACAATGTCCAGGAAAAAAACCCCAGTGAATGGCCAAAGGCAGCACAGAAATTAAAAAGGTATCTAAGTACGAAAACCAAAGAAGCTTATACATCAACATTTTTATTTCCCACCAGTAATTCTGCCCCAAGAAAGCTGAAGACAATCTAACTGGAACTCCTACTCCCTTACGCAAATTCCCTCACAAATATACACACACACACATATCTATGTATCATTTCTATACATAAACACTTACCAAAATATGGATTCCCCTCCACGACCAGTTCCCATGGGGTCGCCAGTTTGTATAATAAAATCCCTCTGTCACAAAGGAGAATCACATAAGATATTGCTTTCATGTTTGTGAATTTAAACCAACCAAAAAACAGGGAATTGAGAATACTCACCTGTACATTATAAATAAGACAATAATTGTAGTATTTGACTTTGCAGAGCTTCAGGAAATTCAGACAAGCTGCAAGAAATCATAGCAACATTTACAAAGGAAACTCCAGATACAAGAAGAATGGATATAACAGAGCCCTAGTTTAATGTGCTGAAAAGTGTTTTTGGAGCAGACTGCATCGAGACTTATCAGGATACAGCCCATAAACACTGAGAGAAATGCTCGAAAGAGGTGTAACATTTCCTCCCTTCCTACAAATCATCTCCAGCGATTCAAAGAACCCTAAACACGGCTGGTTTTACAGAAACATACTTCCCCCCTCCCTTTCCCTCTCGTTTCTTTTCAAACGCTTGAGAAAGAAGCTCACGGTAGCCCTTCGATTGAGATATTACAGATATTACATTTGCGGCCGTGAGCACTGACTGCACCCCCGGTCTCTGTGCCGAGCGAGGCCGCCACCCGCCCGCGCAAGGGGAAAGCCGGTGCCGGGGGGCTCAGGGGCGAGCCCGGTGCCGGCAGGGCCGGGGAAAGGCGGTGCCGGCGGGCTCGGCTCGTACCGCGGGGCCGCTCCTCCGTGTACAGGTCGATGACCAGGTCGCCCACCGTGGTCTCCAGCAGCACCGCCATGGCCGCGCACGGCACAGCCCGGAACAGCGAGGCCCAGCGCGGCCCAGCCCGGCTGGCGCCCTCTGGCGGCGCGGAGGACCCCGCGGAGGATCCCTCAGGGGAGGGACGGGACGGGCCCTCCCCGCAGTCCTGAGGGCGCGCGTGATGCAAAAATGTGGAACGTGTAAAAGTTAAGGCAGGATGTTCTTCGATATGTAAGATCCTGGTATACTTTCAGACAGATTGTTCTGCCAGGTTGGAAAAGAACTCCCTCCCTCTGAGATCGAGTCCAAGCTGAGAGATAACTGGCACACCCAGACGTTCCTTAAATACCTCCAGGGATGGGGAATCCACCATCTCCCCGAGCAGTCCTTAGCCCAGCCCATGCTCTTGTAAACTACTGACTCATTCTGAACTGCTGTGCCCAAGCACAAGAAGCTGGACTTACAATCATGAAAACCTGGCAGACCCAAGCTGAGAGACATCAGATAGACTTTACCACTGAGAGACATAATTCTCCTGTTCTCCTCACACAGCTGGTGACCATGAAGTATCTAGTTAGTGAGTGTAAAATCAATGAGAAGCAGGCATCAGCTAAGGACTGCAATAACTGGAATAATCTGAAAAGGAAGATATTTGAATGTAATCCATCTGTTCAATTATGGAAGGTGCATAAAAATAATGAGATTAAGTTAATTCTGGTCCACTAGATAGAACTTCCCAAGCATCTCCTTTACTTAATGCCCTTCTAGGTTGCTGTAAGGCTCCAAAAATCTTGCTCAAGGAGTGCAGGCAGTCCACTCAGTCTCTTGTGCCACATTCTGCTAAGAACCACACATTACAAGAACAGGGACACAGCCAGCTTGTCACTGGACTGAGCACCTCAGGTGCCCTTAGCCCGGGGTGGTGGGAGTACCCTGGCAGCAGAGGCACAGGAGGATGTGCTGGCACACTGAGCAGCTGTGCAGGGCACCTCACACGCACAGAGCTGCCATCTGACACAGCTGATCTGTTCCAGTGCCAGTGCTGTGCTGCACAGGCATGCTGGCAGGGCATAGCTGCTCGCAGGAAACACTACAAACCCATATTTTTCTGAGGCATGTGCAGACTTCAGCTGGTGCCTTGCAGGCCCACAAGCATATCTGTGTGGTGTTCTTTGTTCTGGGGCTGCATGTGGTCGTAGCTCTCTCACGCTGCACAGGGGTGCTTGCCCTTTCCTATTCTTCAAGTTTCCCTTGGAGGCTATGCACTGTTTCCAAATAGGATTTGTCACAAGCTGAAGGAAGCCACCTCTTTTCAAAATTATTGCAGTATATATCATATTTATATGTCAAGTTCAGCATCTGAAACAGATAAGTAAACACAGTGTATTATGAGCAAGTGCTTGATATGCTAGGACTAGGTCCAGAACCGACTGAAATAAATTTTATATTTTTTTGCTAGGCATTTAAATAAACTGTTGTGCAGGCAAAAAAAAAAAAATTAAATCAATATGAAGTCTAACATCTATTCATTGTCTAACATGCTGTGTCACATTCCCAAATCAGTGTGAAAAAGCCAGATAGAGGGCTGATATTGAAACCTTCTGTCCCCTCTCCAAGCTGTGAGCAGGTAAGGGACACCTCATTTGCAGCCTCCTTGGCAGCAGAGCAAGCGATGGGCTGTCACCTAGGCTCCTGGAGGGAATAATGGCATGGGCTGGGATGGGCAGGGCCATCCCAGAGTCTTTGTTGCTCACCTTGGCCACAGGGCTTGTTTTTGCCCCCACTCCTGAGCACTGCCTGGCAATGCAAGGGAAACAGTGCTCAGGAAAGGCCAGGAGGGAGGCTTGGGGCTGCTAATGCCTCCCCTTCCAGAGCCACCGAGGCCCTGGCTGGAGGACAAGGAGAGGGACATCTGAAGGACCATGCAAGACCCTGTGGCCAGGCTGTGCAATGGGGAGGGCTCAGACAGAGCCTCCAGGGCTCCCCCAGGAAAGGTGGGGGCACATTTGGTGGGCCATAGGGAGAGCTGCCATCCCGGCCCCCTGAGAAGCGCTGCAGAGACCAAACCCAGAAGCAGAGTGTGGGAAAAGCGCCTGCGGGGGCCCAACCAGCAAAGAGCAGTGGAAGGAAATGTGAGGGGATGCAGTGCTGTGGGAATACCAGCAACCAAGCTGTCCCAAAAAGATGGTGCTGGCCACGTGGCACAGCCATTCCACAGCAGCTAAGAGAGGGCCACCCTCTCACCAGGTCCAGTAGGAAACCAGCATCTCCCTGCATATGGGCGGTGAAAAAGCAAACAAAGAGCAAGTTTCTACCCCTCAAACCTCAATGAAACTTCACAGTCCCCCTCTGAAAGGGTCTCATATTCAACAGACTCTAACAGACTAATAACTTGTGCTAAGGGTAAAAATACTGAAGGAGTGTCACACAAGGGCTACAAAACTGCACAACAGTCTAAGATGTTGTCCTGGATTGCAAGGCAATGTGTATTCTGTTTGCCATCTGTTAGAGGTGTGGCAGTTATCTTCTGTAAATTGGGCAGTTTTCTTTATCTCTTCCACAAACCAATCCTCCCCCTGGGGAGACATCTGCTGTCAATGCACCATTGAGTGTCGCTGCATGACTGATAAAATTACAGCAACCCATTGTGAGATGCTCTGCCCTAAGAGAGGAACCAAGCAATCCTACCTGGATACAATCTGAGATTTTCTGACACCAAAACAGCCCTTCCACTGGATTCCCAGAGGAGCAGCTGTCTTTTCCACTGGATCTTAAGAGGAAGACTACACCCTTCTACAGGATCACTGCTCTAACAGAACGACATGTGCCACTCCAGGAGGACTGCAGCCACAATTCCAGTTGGACTGCTACCAACAACAGGGTTTCAGGTTGTATTCTGACTCTGTCAGTGTTGTTTTTGATTTACTGCATTGTTTATTTTATTTTTAAAATTTTCTTCCCTAATAAAGAGCTGTTATTCCTGCTCCCATATCTTTGGCTGAGAGCCCTTCTTAATTTCGAATTTATAACAATTTGGAGGGAGGGGGTTTACAGTTGCCAGTTCAGGGGAGGCTCCTGCCTTCCTTAGTAGAAACATGTCTTTTCAAACCAGGACAGAAGTATGTCCTAGAACTCACAGTACAATTTTTCTTATTGTTGTTTATGCTAGATAAAACAAAAATTAATAAGCCTCTGATAACTAAGTCTGCGACAGTTACTAACAAAATATTATGCTTCTGTCTCAGAAATGGGCTAGAGTGCATTAAAGAGATCCTACAATGTATTTTAATAAGTTTTCTTGCTGTATTTCTACTTGTAATATATCTAGATCGACCTAGAAGATTCAAAGAATATAATCGTCCTAACATTCTAGATCCACTAAAGCATACATAAAGCATTAATGTAGAAATATCACAAGCAAATTTCAGTTGCAAAACTCTTTTTAACTAAGAATTTGCCTCCTGTCATCATTAAAAAAAACCCAAAAACCTAAAAGTCATCTGTTAATATTGCTTGCACTGTTACAATATCAACTAGAAAAATTAAATACCTGTATTTCTTCAATCATTCCTAAGTTGTTCATGTTAAAAATCTTGGTTTGCACTAGATATTAGCACAAGCTTGTTTAAAAAAATACAAAAAACTTCTAAGAAAAATATATTAGTATACAAACTTTACAAAAGTTAAACCCTTTTTCCTTTTAGATAAATGAGAAAGCCTTGGGCAGAAGAGGTTCCTTCAAGTCCTCACAGTGAAAAAGAGACACCCTCAGCAACCCCTACTTCATTAATACTGTTCAAAGTCCATGTTTTTGCTCCTATTTTTAGTTATTACTACAAAGAAAAAAAGGGGAAAAAGGTTGAGTGAATGTACACTCCCCCCCCTTTAAGTGTCACATAGCATCATGTTCTCATGTCTTTCAACCAATCATATTAACAGCACAATAGTCCTATGATAATCAGCTGCCTAACCTATGATAAATGTGTTTCAATGGACACTGGAACATGCTGGATATGTCTGCTTATCCTGATGTCCTCTCAAGAACCATCACAAGGACGTATCTCATGGAAAGGACTCTTGAAGTGTCAGTTCATATAAGGGCTTGATTTGCTTACAAATTATGTTTCCTGCTTACAAACTGTTTTTCTGTTTGCAGGTTGTTTTCTCCAGTAGCTGGGTTTTTCTCTAAGGGATAAATGGTTTAAATGTTAAGTAGTTTCTTGGTTTTAGAAGTAAGCTGTAACCTATAAACATCAAGCCTGTGACCAACGCTAACCTGAGCTCTTGCCTGGCATATCCTGGATGTGAATGCTGCAGCTCCAGTGCAAATTAGACCCATGCTGTCTTCTGTCCCCCCGTCTGCAAAGGGCCCTTGCAGGTGGGTGACAGAGAGCAGATCACAAATTCATACAGACAGAAGGGCGAGGAGTTGCCATGTATCACAGCACAGTGAGACTTAGCCAGCCCCTGGGCTGACTGGCAGGGGCCTGGCCCAGTCACATCGCTCCCAAGGCTGCTGGGATGTCACTGGCCGCACCCTGAAGGGGCGTAGGCGTCAGACCAATGGAAGTATCCAGGCTGCCCTTTTGAAATTCGCTTCGTAAGGAAGGGCTGCGGAATAAACTCTCTCTATTGCCACACGAAGATCTGGGTGAGTGATCTCTTTGCCCCCTGCCCACTTTTCCCCCCCATGAGTCAGCACAAGAGGTGTTCAGCAGCCTTTGGAAGGTTCTGGAAGGCTCTCTGCAGTTACGGCAGTTGCCCCCCGCTTGCTGCTGCAGTTGGAGGCTGCACTCCCAGCGCAGTGGCTCTGGCTGTAATGGTGAGCAAGTCTCAGCCCCCTGTTCTATTCCTCCAGCCCACCCTGGCTGTCCTGCTCTGAGCTTCACCCCACACCGGGAGCCCAAACAGAGCCCCATGGCACCACTGTGGGGTCAGAGCTGGTGGGAAAACTGAGGGTGTTGCACAGCAGGGCCTGGTGCCAGCAGGAAACCCATGGAGAGCCTTGCTGGCTCCGGAGGGCCCTGTGCCTCCCACTCTCAGAGCCGGGGACACCCAGGGAATTGTCACCATGTGCATGGCCTCTACTCAGGTTATTGGTGGGCCTTCGCTTTTGGCCACCATCAGAGGCAGGGACCGGGCTAGAAGGACCCCTTGCATGTGCATGACACATTTTTATCAAAAATAAGGAAATGTGAAATGTGAATTTTACTCTTTTAAGACTATTTGCTGTCTTCATCTCTGGTGAAGATAGGGCAGTGGTGAGCCACAGGCATAAAAATGAGATTGTGAGACCACTTCAGATGGAAGAGGTTTATATCCATGAAATCGAAGTAATGGGGAAATCTGTGCTGCTCAGCTTCTAAGTGTGAAATTCTGCTTGGCAGGCTGCAACTTTTAAGGTGGAAGAAGAAAGAAGGATTTCTTTCAGATGTTTTTTTGTGTGTAAATAAGGACATTTTAAGGCATGTAAATATAGTAGTTATTTTTTCAGTCTTATTGGGAACCTTGTGACCCCATGACACAAGGGTTAATATATTAAACTCAGGGATTCACAAAATGACACAACCAAGGTCAGTACTGTACATTAAGATGTGCATTGTAAGGTACAGTACATTAATCATCAAAGTTGGAGACTATATTACTACATCAATTAGTTCAGAGCTTTCACATTTGAGCTATGACTTCTGAGAATCAGAGACTTTCTCTTCTGCAGTGATATTTGCCTCTTTTTCAGCTGGCTTCGCAATTAACCAGGATTTTTCTAGCTCAAAAATATAAACCCCTTTTTTTTTTTTTTAAATTTTAGTTTAATTGCTGTGTCTCTAGGTTTGTAGGGTTTTTTTTAGGATGCCAAGAGACTTTTTAGATCAGAAGACTGGCCCTAGCTTTATCATACGGCAGTGCTGGATGTAGTAAAAAACCCCTAATATCAGAGGTGAAAAAGCAGAACAAAAGAACCCCTGCTCATCAGATAAAGCAGAGGAATTGATTTAGTGTCTGCTTCTACAGAAGGCCTCATTCCTGCTATATGTACAATTGATTATTCAAATAACTTGATAACAATTGATGTAATTATTTCTGATTATTCTTGATTAGAGTCCTGGAACTGGGTGATTACATCTTGATGTATGCATCATAAATGCAGGAGATACGGCCTAGATGAGGACAAAATGTCATTTTATTTTCCAGTTTATTCATTTTTGCTAGATAAAAAGACTCTGAAAATTTAATTATATGATCCTAAACAGAGGCTTGCTGACATTTTGTAAGTTAAGTAGTAGAACCTCTTCAGTTATGGAGGTGAAACTCAGTGGTGGTTTTTAATGTTTAAGAAGGCTAAAAAACACCTTAGAGTTGTGTGATTGACATGCAAATAATGTGAGTGTGAATGTTTCCTTTCTACAAAATCAAGTCTGTAGTGATAAGATGAGCAGGTTATTCCTAGGAGAATATAACCACTGAAGAAGCAGCAGTTAATTCAAATTAATTTGTTGATTTCTCTCAAATTTACAAAGGATACAAATGTAAATTTCATGTTTCCTTCTCCTGTATATTCAACTATGTTTTTATTATTGTTTAGCATTTTACAGTTTTGCTGGTGCTTAGAAGATTGTAATATGTATCAGATAAACATCTAAACTTGTTTTTTTTTTATTATTTTACATCTTTATTAAAAGCCATGACAAAGCTACTGGGTCTGATTCTGCTACAGCAGAGAGTAAGGTGGGCTGGGGTTGAATGCTGAAGTCAAAGCATTCTGCAAGCAAAGTACAGAACTGATTGTAAAGGCCTTTGGTTAAGACCATTTTTATTAAAAATGTGCATTGATCTAAATGGTGTTCTGTCTAAGAAGATTATATCTTCTGACACGAGGGAGTGCTACATCTGAACAAAATAGATGCTGTCCACCAGCAGCTTGCAGTATTGGGTAAATTCCTACACAAGCAAGCAGAAACTCACTGCCAACTTAAGTCAACATTGGAAGTATCTGACAGCAAATTGCTGTGGCAGAAAAATTCTACTGGCTGGATGAGCCGTGTTTAATACTCACATGACAAATATGTTTCTGTTTATTAATTTTCTTTGAGGTAACAAAGAAAAATCTCTGTCTGCATTTACAAACATGTAATCACATGTTAATTTCTGTCCACTTTAATTTTAAGCATGTCAGGCTGCAGAAGTGAAGCCCTTCAGGAAAGAGGTGAAAATAGATGAGACCTGCTGAAAGTCCTTTTGCATTCTCTTTCCTGCAGAAGCCTTTCCGACGTGCACAGACGCCATTGAGTCAAACCGCAGCGCTCATTAGGAGGTGCATGCCAGGGCTCCGTCTGCCCTGCTGGGAGAGGATCAGCAAATGAGCAGCAAAGAAGATGTCTGCATGCTAGACAATAGTGCCGTGCCCTCTGCCGGCAGAGGAAAGTTCTCAACCGATTTTAAGGGTCAGAGTAATGAAAACTTAGCTGCAAGGCACTCTGTGCAAAGAGGTTTCTCACTAAGTCATGCTAACCAAGGAGACAGAGTACCCATTTCCGAAATCTCTGATCCTCTTAAGGTTACTGAAGAACCAAAGGCACAGACTGTAAAAACTGATCTAGAGATACCACCTCAAGCCAAAGTCACATCAATACCACTATCTTTTTTCCCATCTAAACTACAGCAACTCCTTGTAGCTGCAGCGAGCAGGGTCTCTGAAGCAAGGCAAGCTCCAGAAACACAATCTGTAATTTACATATGGCCAGTAATAAAGATGCAAGAGAGTTCCATATCCTTCTGGCACAATTTTTCAAAGTCTTTAATACCAAGCAGCCCAGATTTAACCAGACCCTGTTCTAGTCCTGATGTACCTGGAGATGAGAAGTGTTCCCAAATAACCCCAATGAAAGAGCTTGTGCAAGAAGAGCCAGATGAAAAGAAAGCAAAATTCTATCCTCTCACTGTAAAGTCATCTAACAGTGCTGTTTCAGAAGTTTTAAAGTCACTCACCAATATCAAGAATAAGGATTTTATGTTAACACTTTCATCTATTAGTCCTATTGGAGAGCAACCGGAAATTCCTCTCTTTAAGGGAAATGCTCTGATGATCTATAATCATCAAGTCTACCTTCTGTATGTAATGAGGCATGAAGACCTGGCAGCAGAAATGAAAATATCTGGCCACCATATGTTGTTTATGAAGACCATAATTTTTCTCATTACATGTCGTTCTGTCCGTGAGCTGACATTCCAAGATTCACATCCACTGCTGTTGAGAAAGGATGCTGTGAAACAGAACATAAAATGTCTTACAGCCTGTGCCACCCCCACAGCCCAGAAGAAAACATCAAATGAAAAACATTTCTCTTCACACAAGAGGACTACAATCTCTCAGGCCGAGGACTGCTTCTGTCTTGCTGGGAAAAGGCAGCAGGGGGTAACCCGTGATGATCAGGTGAGCCTCTGTGTATGAACAGTAAATTGGCCCCCTGTTAGACATAGCTGAATTCAAAGTGCAGTATTCAGAATATTGATAACAGGCTGTGCAAGATGAGTGAGTTGTTTTTTCTCAGTTTTTCTGGGGAAGTTAAACAAAAGTCCAGCGGATACGATCACTGTAGAGGAAATCAAATTAAGGCTTGCAGGCCTATAAGACTTCACTGTTTTAAAAAACATAATTACATAATGCTGAGAAAAAAATATGTCTTGAGTTATACCAAGATTTTTCTAGTATTTGAACAGAACAAAAGCATTGTGGTCCATTGTTATTTAGAGAACAGTAGGGCCAAATTTAATATAATAGCAAGGTATTTCTCAAGGCAGAAGGTTGGGATTTTGAAAACAGGTGATGAGTGCCATTGTGGTCATTTTTTAAAGTAACAATGGAAGAATAGAGAAGGGCTGGCATGCAAGATCCCTCCTGAATTAAATTCTTGCAAAGCCACATGCCCATGGTATGTGCCACTGTAGAAAAAAAGCTGTGAAAATAAACTGGGATGGGAAGAAAATGACTACACTCACTTCCTTATAGTCAAGTTTGACTCTTTCCCATTTCAGTTCCTCAGCAAGACTGCATTCCTATCCAAAGAAGACTTGCATAAAAGAGATGATGAAAAAGGACATTGGGATAATGACAAGGAAATAAGAAAGAAATTTGGTCTTGTTAAAGGTGTAAGAGTTGTTCTCAACAGGGTAAGTGCCTGTGAGCTTAAGGATTTGACTGCCAAACCTTCTGCACTTGAAAAGTAACCATTATGACAGAGAACTGAGGGAAGTACCAGACATGCATACCTCTCTGTACACAAATATAGAGTATACTTCACCTTGAAGTATTTATGACAGAGCATTAGTATAAATTTCAACATTTTAGAGCATTTAACCCCATAACATAAAACATTTCCTGTTAGAGAACCTCACCGCAGCTACTTCTAAAATGTCAGGATCTGGTGCTTCCCCCCTCCCTGGAGGATTTTCTCCAAAAAGTGCAGATAAAATGCCGACTACTGCTGAAGTCTTTTCTGACTCTGCCTTCTCTTTGGCACTCATACAGCTGCAATGGAAAGCAGAAAAAGTGCCTGCTGAGCTCTTACTGCTAGCAGTGGTTTGCAGTCTGTCTGTGCCAACATGTGGCTTGTAGGCAGAAACCATCACCCAGCCTTTCCAAGATCTTTGAGAATGGTCTGTTTTTGTTGTCTCTGAATGGGAGCATCATTGGTGTACCCTCAGCATTCATGAAAATATACTCTGTCTTCTTGTAAAATATTTCGAGGTCAGGTGGAGCAAAACTCTCAAAAGAATATATTAAAAAACCACAGGTACAACTTCAGGATTAAGATTGTTTTTTTTTTTCCTTTGTGCCAGTACTGAAATGAAAGTAATAAAACAAGTATTGGCTGTCATTTCTCCTATAATTTCCTTTCCAGCAAATATGCCAAGGCAGACCCTTAGGATAATCAAATTTTTATGGTGTTTCTCCATTTATACATGTTATAATTTCTCAACATGTATTCCAGAAATCGAATAAGATCAAATACCTAGCAAAATACTTAATTTTTGTCTGTTTTATACAAATGCTTCTACTTGCTGGACTGCTATTGAGAAGTTTCAGTTACACCAGTGTTATTAATGTTAGTTCCCATTAACCTGAACTGTTATTGTGACTGCTTTTCAATATTTTCTGCTGCCATGTCTTTTCCTTTGCAGATTACACTTATTTTATTACATTCTGTCATTTCACAGAACACAGACTGTGTTCTTTGCATGTAGAGTCATTTGATTAATAAAAAGATGTTACATCTTTGCTACATCTTCTTTAAGCTGTTGCTCATCATTTCTATCTTCCTGTAGTTTCTTTCGTGAAAATTGAGCTCATGTAGAGGTTGTGACAGTGGGATTAACCTATGTTTGTTGAATCTTGATGGAGGATCTTTCAAATCCAGGTGCCCCTGGCTAAAGGGAACACCTGTACAAAATGTTTTGTTTTATATGCAAGACATAATTTACAAGAATAATAATAGCTATTATCAAAGGAACTAGAATATCCGGGGGGGAAAAAGCATTATATACCAACATGGAATGAAATGGAAGAATAATTGGTAAGGATATAATTGAATACATAACACATCTACTATTCAATACATAAACAATAGTTAGTATTCAAAGAGTGAAGAGGTTGATAGAGCAAGAGGAGAGTGGTAAGTAGGTTACATCCAGAGGGCAAGAGAATGACAGATCCCAAAGGATTGTGGAACATGGAGATAGGGAAGTATGAATTACAAAGTATTGTGAACAGGACATATTGTGAACAGCAATGATGATTTGGAAATTACAATGTAACACAGAACCAATGCCTAAATTATTTACCTGAGTTTGGAATTCCATATGATTGTTAATTCTAGTGAATGGTAATGTGCTTCATCAAAATCCTTCAGCTCAGTCCCGTTACCAAAACACATAGGAGCATGTAGCTTTGTTGGGAGCTCTAATAAGCATCCTGAGGGAAGAGTCCTTCACTTTCAATCTCAGGATGATAAAGTTGCTGAACTTACCAACCATTGCAGCTTTTGGCCAGGGGCCAAGCTGTTTCCATCTTCTACAGTTCCTCCTCCCCTGCTGTATGGAAGGCCTCTGTCCTCTCCCGCAAGAGCCACCTGCACCACTTTGCAGGAGCCTCCTGCTCTTAGAATGGCTGCTATAAATGTGGGGAAAACCAGGTGAAAAATCTATTGCCTGTGTTACATGTGAGAGGGATAGACCTAACTTTTGCTCCTGGCCTACGTATTTTATAGATTTATAACTATAGATTCGTTGATTTAAAAACCTGTCTAGACTCTGACAGAGTACATTCCCTTCCAACTACAGTAGTCAGATTATTTGTTTCTGGAACTATATGTAACACCATCTGTTAAAACCTAGTCTGATTTATCCAGTTATTTAGAGAGAAACAGTGTTAGGAAACACATTAGGAATTTAAATGTAGGTAATTCCTTTCTGTGCTTCTCATTAGATCAATGATTATAACCCACTATCTTTATATATTTCCTTTGTGTACCGAAACTCCAAAGTAAGAAGCACAAGCATTCTGAGTTTAAATAAGAGGATGAAGTCATCCAAGTTAGAATGGAGGACAGCCAGGAAAGGGGGTTTCCTGCTAACTGGAAACTTCATTTTTTCAGATTTGATTTCAGTCTGAATTAGATGAAATCTTTTTATTCTTCCCAGTTTCCCAGTCAGCAGGAAGCTGCTCAGACACTGGAATGGCTCAGCTAAGCTCGCTCTATTACCAACAGCCAAGCCAGGTATCCGCACCACTGAAGGCTGGGGCTTCCCCGACTCTCTGACTCCTTGGCTCTCCCCCAGGGGACGGCTGTGGGGTTACTTCAGGATTCTGGACATTCAGCAAAAGTTCACCAAGAACAAGACATTTTAGACTGTAAAACACGGACTCTCTCAAATGAAATTTGTTCCATGAGGAAACTTTAAACCTAATCTTTTCATCTGGAAGTTCTGTGTAAGGCACCAATTTTCACAACACAAAAGAGAAAGGCAGTGGGTACAGAACCATTTGTGCAGTTGTGATAGCAACAAGAACAATGGGAATTGAAGTTTCAATTTATGGAAACTCCCAGAACATACTTGAGTGTCAGGAATCTTTTTCTGGTCTCTCTTCAAGTGTGATGTTTTGAGAGTGGCTGAGCTTCAGCTGGCTGCACTCCAAAACCACTGTCCCATATGAGGCAGTGCCTGAAGACATCTTACTGTTTTCTTTGCCCCTACAAACACAACAAACTTCTCCACTGCTCAGGGTGGAAACCATGGCAAGATGTTCCTTTTGTACAGGGTATGTTTTGCACCCAGCACAAGAAGGGTCTTTAGCACTCAGCTGACACTAACAAGAAGAAAATGCAAGTAATACTCCCCCCCCCCCCAATGAATTAAATCCATTATCAACATATATAATTTTGTAACAGGTGGGTATTCAGCAATATTATTTTGGAGATATAAAGGATTTTTTTTTTTGTTTAATTAGCAGTCCAGCTCTGGGGTAAGAGTATTACTCATAGGCATGAGATTGAGGTCTAGCAGATTGCTGACTATGAAGCCAGGGAAAATTTAAGGTATTTGTAATCTTGACAGAGGTACTCAGAAGTCTTACAAGATGATACTTCTAGTACTTTTAGATTTTCCAGTGCACTCTAGAAAGGGACAGCTATCCCACTGGGCAATAAACCATACCTGAACCTTGGGCTGCAGCACATATATCCTGGATTGTTTGAACTTGCATCTGATATTCTGTATTGTGCAAAAAATGTTCTGTGTCTTTTAAAGACCTTCATGTAGGAAGACCTCTTACAGCCCTATTTTTCTGGTAGGAAAAAATATTACTCACTGCATGCTTGAAGCTCAGATAATTTTGGAACATACTCACATTTTGTCCATATCTTTCTGGAAATTCAGTGACTCCAGGGAATAAACTCTCAGCCTCTAAATGATTTTCTGCCTATCAAGCAAACACAAATGTCCCCTGTAGGTTTGCCCAGAGCCAGAGCCTGATTGAAGTTTTTGAGTTTTCATTACACTCTGTTGCAGTGTGGATAAAGTGAGAAAACATCTTATATGAAAAATTCCACCTTCTCCCTCTGCAGATTTGCTTCTCATGGCCCTGAGTCAGTGCTGATTGTGAAAACTGCAACCTCCTATGTACTTTTGTTTTTTAAATAACCCTGAAAGGTCAATCAAACAGTATGCAAAACTCTTATAACTTGGACACTCAAATTTAGAAAACAGGAACAACAACTTGTACCTAAATCAACAGTCTTATCTGGAAGCTAAAGAACATGGCAAGCTTCATAAATATCACTTCTTGTTGCTTAATTTGAACATCCAAGGTAAAAAATATTTGGTTTCAACTGTTATTTCAAGAATAAAATCAGTGTTTTGTTTTCACCCTTCAGGAACATTTACAAAGATGAGTTGTACATCAGACTGGGTGAACAAGGGATGATTGTCCTTTCCTTAAGTACCAGAATGAAGGATCATTGGATTAAACTACTAACAACCAGAAGGTTTAGAATAAACAAGTGGAGGTGGTTCCTCGTGTCACGTGTGGCTAAGTTGTAGGAATCACTGCTAGCAGGTTTTTGCAAATACTTCAGTTTATACCAGCATAATTAAAATGCTATTGCACAGAGCCATAGAAAGATGTCTGAGGGTATTAACTGCTATCCCTGCCTCGGGAAATTATTGCACTTCAAATGGTAGAGAGTGGACAAGTATAACTTCATGTTCTCCTATGCTCCTGTAGACATTTTAGTAATGTTAGGACAAAATGTTGGGTCAGGCCCAAGGTCCATTTAGCTCCATAGTGTGTTCTCAACTTTGGTAGGTAGTGAGGGCAGGGTTCAAAGGCAGTGCTGGCTATAGGTGGCCACTGATACTGGCCACAGCCACAAACTGGAAGGCGACTGGACTGAGATGTCGGCGATGCTGCATGGAGATCACTGCTGCCCCCAGCAAGAGACCTGAGGCAGAGGAGGGACAGACACACCAACATGGCATCTGCATGGAAGGGGCTGTAGGTCAGCCAGGCAGCTCACTGGGGTGTGCAGTTTACACAGTTCTCAGAAACACAGAAAATAACTCCTGGTAAACTTTTATCTTGATGAATTTTGCTCTTGCATCATTACTAGGTGTCTGATTTCAGTCTGAATTCAGTCTCTTTGAATTTATTTATTATTCAAACAATCAGCCAAAATTACCTTGTCCATAATGTAAAAGTACATGCATACATACATAAGTAATAACATGCAGCTGTATCTTTTAATGGAGAAATTAACTTCTCAAGATCATTCTTCTGAAGAGAATATTTATAGGATATCCACAATTCTTAGCATGGTAAATAACAATATCCACTTCTTTCTCTTTGGATTTCAAGACATTAAGTGTATTCCAAATGAGGACAAAGTAATGCTGTGCTAATCACTGCACTAAGTACCAATGAGAAATTTGGCACCTCTTTTTTGTAGATATTGTTGAAAATCCCACCAGAAGTGAAAGAGGCTCCAAAGGCACCCAGGTTGACTGTGACACAGCTAGGAAGTTAATCCAGTCTCAGAGTTCAGTTTTCACATAAGGCAAACCCTTCTGTGCCAATTCTTCACTGGTAGACAAAAGTATCTTTCTCTCAGGATCTCTGCCTGGTGCCAGAATGCCAGCTCACAGTGGGCTGGAACTGGCCCAGGTTAGTTTCCTGTACTTGCAGTTATGGGAAACTTAAAAAAAGAAAAGAGCCATACAAAAGTGGCAAGATGGCCAGGTCAATGGAGTTTAGTGTTAAGAATATCTCCACCAGTTACCAAACTGCACTGCACTGGAGGTTGTGTTGGCCCGAGAGAGGGAAGCAGTTTCACGTATCGGTATCCTCACCAGTGGGACTTAATGTGCATAGGACATGGATCCTGCTCCTGTTCAGGTAAAAACTAACTTCAAAAGGTGTTCTGCTTGAACACAATCTCTCCTAAAAAGAGACTTAAATCTTCATGGAATAAGAGGAATCAGTCTGAGCAGTTGGCTGCCTAGCTTTTCTCCTGTGAGTCCAGCACAAGTAATTCTAGAGGAGCAATTCTCTCAGCCCACTTCCTCTTTGTGACATTACCATGCTAGACACTAACTCACCACTCTGGACATGAATGTTAGAGAGTCAAAATATCTACTCATCTTTAGGCAGTTTGC